ATATACATGTTAACAGGAAGCAGAATAACAGTGTGACAAACTTCAAGGCAGACAATTCCATCTGACCACCATCGAATCACAGCAAGAATCAGGTTGTCACTCAGAGGCAGCAAGCCAAATAAATTAGTGGATCCCATATGACTTATTCTTATCTTGTATCAGTGATGACTATTAGAATAAGCTATGCAGTTGAAGTACAAAACACTTCAATAGTTACAATTGCACACTAACAGTGATTCTGTAAACACCATCCAATCAAACTGAAACTTAAAAGGATGCCAAGGGGAAAATGAAGATTGTTGTTAAGAGGAGGGAACTGAAAGAAATCAGTTAAAACCCTTTCCTGAAAACAAACAATATAGATGAGGCAAAAAACAAAGGAGTGAGAAAACATCAGAGAAAACATGCAATCAAGTTAGACTAGCATAGTTAGTCATAAATGAATCTACAGGAACAATGAGGAGCAAAAAAGAGCAGAAAGCACTTTATCAATCTACTCAGGCCACCTCCTGTAATTGGTGAGAGACCAATTGAAAAAGTTCTTGACACTCCCAATTAAAATTAATGATTTCACAGCTGAAGAACTTCACAATTCCATCACAATACAAAACAACAAAGAATCTGAACTCTACAACATATTAGCAGAACTTTGAAAGACCAATTATATGAAAAATGAGCTACTCACAATCTGCTGGAAGACATGTGGTAATGTGCCTGAAAATTTGAAGGAAGAAAGGTATATACTGCCTCTGTCAAAGAAAGGTGACTTTGGACAAACAGTGAATTACAGAGACATAATATTCTCTGTAGTTGTTGCTCAGATATACAACAGAATGTTGCTAAACAGGTTGAGACTATACATGGATACCAAGTTGAGGATAAATTAGAATCTATTCAGGTTAAACAGACCAACTGTTGCAGAGTTTCTACTAATGTGCAGGTTATTGGAGGAAACCAGAACAAAAACGTAAACAAAAATGTAAAAAGCTAAATGGTTCATCCACAAAAATACTTAGATCAGCAAAAAGTATCAAATGAAATCAGCAGATCACCAATGGAAGCCTCTGTGGCAAATCTGCCAAAAATAATAACCATCATTACAGAGTGAAAGCTAAGTTCTCAGAACATTGTTGCAGCGAGCAGGAAATTATCCAGTTATACTGTCAGAACCTCCTTATGGATGCCCAGCCTGAATATTGACAAAATGATGGGGGATATAAGTTTTTCTCCTATATGATCTTCCATTTATATTTTCATACTTTGTTTTGTTTTATACTTATAAAAATTAGACATGTCAATAAATGAAAGACACTTTCAAAATTATTGGGTTGTCCAGAATATTCATGCCAATTTTTTAGGGAAATTAAAACACAAAACAAAATTATGCCATTAAATATTTATTCAACTAAATATGAACCATTTTGTTGCACAACCTTTCTCCATTTTTCCTTAAAGATTCCATCATTCCTGAAATTCAGTGGTTTCTCGGCCAAGAACTCATTAAGATGATTTTTTTCATGTCATCCAGAGAATTACAAATTTAACCATTGAGATGATTTTACAAGGACCTGAATAAAAGATAGTCCAAAGGAGCAATGATGGGTGGGGTAACACATCTCAGCCAAATTGCAACAATTTTTGCTGGGTTGCCAAAGCAATGAGGTCTGGCACTATCCTGATAGAAAACACCTTTCCTGTTCATCAATTTTGGGCATTTTTCTTGAATTGCTGGCTTTAATTTATCCAGTTTCAAGTAGTACTTTTCAGAATTAATTGATGGGTTACTTGGTAGAAGCTCATAGTACAGGATTCCTTTCCAATCCCACCGAATGACTTTCTTAGGATGAAGACTTGCTTTTGAGGTGGCTAAAGTTGGTTCATGTCGCTTACCCTAAGATCTTTTTCACTGAACACCATTTTAAATAATCCATCTCATTGCCCATCACAATTTGCTTCCAATGCAATCCAAGATTCTTTTCATTCAGTTCATGCGCTACTCAAACATAACAATTTGAGCACCCAAGCTTCATTAAGTGTTCATGAATGCTGGATTTTGATAAATTTAGTGTTTCTGTCAATTGTTGTGTGGTGGAATGTGGGTTATTTTCTGTGTCTTGATTTGGTTGTCATCTGTAGTGGGAGGGGAGGTGTCTGCCTGCACGTTCTTTATCAATAAGGCTATAATCACCAATTCTGAACTTAGCAAACCACACCTGTATAGTTCTGTCAATTAAAACACTTTCACCATATACAACATATCTTTTTTTGTTGTTTTCAACTGTCTAAAAATGAATTTTAGTCTTCAAATTTCATAGGGATGCAAAATTGACATGAATTAAGCAATTTTAAACTTTCTTTCTCAAAAGATATTTTGAAGTGTGCTCTAATTGGGAATGTAAGCAGGTTATTTCTATTGATAAATTTGGCATGTTCTAACATGTTGGAACATAACATCTAAAAAAAAAAAAAAAAATCAGCATGAACTTTTGAGCAACCTAATACTTCCATTTTTTATTTTTTTTGCATTACAATATGTGTTTGCTGAAAGGTTGACAGCCCAAATTACAAAGAAATTTAAAAAAAATAAATAAAATAAATAAATGTATGGTCATTCATTCAGATTTTAGGAAGCAGGCCAGTTTTTTCACTCCCACCCCGACTGATGCAGGCAAAGCCAACAACTAAAATATTTATGTTCTGATATTTCAGAGATTTTTTTAAAGTATTTAAGAGTGAGTAATTAACACAGACAGATTTCAAGTCTACTTGAAGTTGTAGAAACAGTTACAGATTTGGTATGGGGGTCACGTGTGAGCATAATTAGATTTTTTATTTATTTTTAATCTATTTTTAACATACTAAAATTGAAAAATTCACTTTCTAATACTTGAGGAGTCTCCATCAAAAAAAAAAATAAAAAATAAATAAATAGTCACTTCTGAGCAATACAAAATCCTTTTTAATTTTTTTTTTTTAAGATAACTATTTGAAGTATCACTTGCAATAAATTTGCCCATTGCTGTTGATCTAATAATAGTAAAAATTTTGCCAATACCAAATATGTTAATTACATTTCTAATATATTTCAAGCTTTGTTCTATTTTTATTTTTCACTCAGGATAAACATTATCGACATGCTAAAAGTCAATGTGAAACATCTCCAAATTGTCAGAAACTGCTGACGCGTCCATTGGACCATACTCGTTGTGTTCGCCTTTGTATATCCAAATCATGCTATGAAACTCTTTATGGTCATGATGAGGTGAGTTCAAATTTTAGTTTCTTTATCCAATGCAAATTTAATTCAATAAAAAAAATAGAAAAACTAATTTTACTCACTAGATACCTTTGAGGTTAGTCACTGATCAGGATTAGTGACATGCCTTTATGGCAGAAGATACACAATCCACTCTTATTTACCTGTTCACTTGGAGTCATAAAACTGTAACTGTTCTGGTTTTTATCTGATAAAAATGTTTTTTTAATGATATAAGAGAGTATGAAATTAACATCAAAAGTTCTGGTAAAGTATAACTGAGTAATCTAAGAGATTTACTGCTTTCTTAGAGGATTAATTGGCTTACCTCAAAAGTAATACTGGCAAGTGATAACTTCTACAAATCTTATTTCAATTATACTAAACCTATATTTTATTCTATCTATTGCAGTTAGAGGAAGGAGAGATAGATGTTCGTATCAACTCTTTCAAAGGATGCTATTTCTACGAACTTCAACGTGGAAGAGAATTATAAAAAGTTATAATAGTGCCAAGACAAATCATTAAGATGTTCATATACTTATAAAATCTGCATGCTTTAAAGACACACGTATCCTGGGACCAACATGTAAAGTCTTTCAAAATGAAAGGAAAAAAAAAAGTATTTTTTTCTATTCAGTTGATGCATTTAACTTATCAATAAATATATCCTTAAGAATAAAAGAAAAACAAACATTGTTATTTTCTCACTTTGCTCTAAAAGACTTCATACCTTCATTTCAAAAAGATTGTGATTCCTCCCACCTTAGTTTTCATTCACACACTGACCAAGATTTTATAGGCATGTAGATAACTTGGAATAAAATTTGAACAAATATTTTTTTAATATAATTTATTTAAAACAATGAGTTTAAAAAAAAATCATAAAAATATTCAGACTATTCCAATGGTTATAACTGAACAAAGATGTTGCTAGGCCCACTTAAAGTCAAGTAGCATCTATAATTCATAGCAGAGTTATTTATTATTTGTAAATATAGACAAATTAAAAGTGTGCAGTTCCATGTGATGAAAATAGGCTACATCTTTAATAAATCTAAAATCTCAAAATTGAATGTTTTTGTCCAAATGAAACAAACATGAATAAATATAAAAATAATGCTCAGTAGTGTCAAAATGCTTTATTAGCAGCAACAGTTTTGCCTTTCATACAAAACAGACATTCTGGCTTACACAAACTGATTTCTATTGTTGAATACAACTTATCCTATCAGCTGCTTTAAGCTTAAGATTTAATTAAATATTGGGCTTAATTAAATGTTGATTGAAAAGAACTAAATATTCAATGAAACTATACTTAATATATCTTGACATTAAAAAAAAAATACATGATTGATATTAAACTGTTTTACAGAAATTGGGTAATTTAAAGTTTGAATATATATATATATATATATATATATATATATATATAATATATATAAAAGCAGATATTTTTTCTATAAAATGCTCAATACACCACTTTTTAAATATCTTTGATAATGGCACTATAGTATTTATTTCCAAGGCAATAGAACAGTTTAAAAGGCAATGTCCATGGTTAACAAGTGAAAATGAATGTTGTCAGTTTTTATAACAATAGATCATATCACAGCACGTGATTAAATGATGGTAAAGTGATAGAGAGAATGAGTGAGTGTGTGTGTGTGTATGTGTGAGAGTTTTTATTGCAGCAAGAAAGGTTGAATGTGTGTGTAGACGAAGAGTTATTGATATTGAATTACTAGGGATTCTTTCGTTCTTTGGATATGGATTTCTGGCTCTGAGTATGCCTGGTGACAGTAGAAACCCCATCAACAAATTTCGTCTTGAAGAGAGTGTTGGCATTATTGAACATTCCATCTTTGAGAGAGACAACAATAAACTGTAAGAAAGTAAAATAAATAAAGTTAAACCAGCATAGAAAAGCACAAACAATAAATGCATTCTTATAGAATTTTTTTTTTTACACACACATTCCAAAATCACAAAAAAATGGAATGTATAAATTAAGCTTTAGCAATTTTGCAGCACTATCTGCTCAAATTGTATAATTTTTGTTATGAATGAAAGGATTAGGTTTACAAGAGAGCAAACACATCAGTAAGCCTAAATGCCAAAAATTAAAATTAACTTTGTATCCATCAGCTCCCAAATGAATCCATAAATGTTCATTATACCAATACACAGCTAACAATCTTAAATATAAGCTGTTTTTGGTAAGCTGCAAGTACTGTATTTATTTACCTGTTGTTAAATACCCAGTTCTATTAACAATATACAAATTTAATTTATAAATGTACATATGCAATTAAATCAATAAGTCTATAGCCTAATGATGAAAAAGCATGTTTAACACCAGTGGTGAATATAAATTAAGCTCAATATTACAGTAAAAAATTTCATATCACAATTCCCCTAATGACCATTTTACAGCGGTCATATAATGTTGAATTAAAAATCCACCAATTTCTTAAAATTTTTTACCCAAAACATAAACAAAGCTTTTTTAAAAAGTCTCAATGAAAGATTTGCATGTTGTAAGGGTAATTGTTTTTTGCTTTAATGGATTCTTGTAGCTTAATAGTAAAACACACTTGAGCTGAAATCAGTTTCCCAGATTAAAAATGAAATACAGGCCATTCCTGTCAGAAGGCATATTTTCTTAAGGCTTTCAATCACTTAGTCAATAGATATTAATTTAAGTTTAAAAAGTAGGGATGCCAACTCAAATATGTGTACTCACTAAATAATATTTTTTTTTTTAAACAAGCTATAAAAGAATACTTAATGAATGCCCCCCCTTTTTTTTTTACACTTATTTATATGTAAATTTGGATTAGAAAACATGGGAAAAAATAAAATTTTGCAGCATTATATTATTGCAATTATATGTGTGTATACACACAGTACTGTGCAAAAGTATACAGCTGTTTTCAATTACTGTTTCATAATTGTCAGCTTATGAATGGATGTTTCACATTTTCTATAGATTAAACATTGACCCTATTGGAGTCATTTCAATTGCTAATTGACACATTTTATAAAAAGAGTTTTGAATGAGAAGTGAAGATGAAAGCATCAACACCCATTCCAAAGATTTTAGGCCACCAGATACAAAGTTTTAAAACAAAAAAATGTCTATCTTGAAAATTTGTTACATAATATTCATTTCAAGAAGTTACTGCACATTTATTTCTATAAGTAATGATTTTTTTTGTGTTGAGAGTGGTTTGACCAAGAGTTTTTTCAAAAGCCCTTTGTATGTGCATATAATATTTATCTCTGATGACTCAATGTCACTAACAGAAACATTATAAAAAAAAAAAAAAAATTTTCACAAGAAATACAGTAACATCTTTATAAATACTATAATTTAAAAAAAGATAACAAATGCTGACCTGTGAATGTTTGAAATGGTTTTTGATCATGTGTCCAATGTTTTGTGTGTGAGACAAGTCCAAGGCAGCATCAACTTCATCCAGAATGTAGATGGGAGCAGGTTTGAAGAGCAACATGGCCAGAATTAGAGAAAGAGCAACCAAAGACCTAAAATAATTAAAAAATAAAATTTAAATATTATTTTTGCATATAATTCCAAAGTTATTTGTGTATATAATTAACACAATGCAATTCATTTATGGGATTCATAAGTCAAAAGAAATTTCTTATGCACCAATATTTAAATGTTTTTAAAAATATTCAATGGGATAATAATGCTGGATGTTGTTCTCATCATAAGGCCAAATTAAAACTAACAAGAGAAAGAAGTTGGGAATGCTATTTATCTGGGCAGACCAGCGATATACATCCACCTATAGTAAACCTTGTAATCCACTGGTTATCCCCTCCTCTATTCTACACAATATTTTTTCATATTTTTAAAATAAGGGATCTTCCAGAAGACTAAACTCAAATGATAACAATGGTAAACAGAAACTGAATAAGAATTTCTTCACACAATGAAAAAAATGGAATTGGCATGCAAACATCAAATTCCAGCTGAAATGGTTTTTGTTTATTTCGCATAATTGGAAAAATCATGAACAGGTATTTGTGAGCTTATCAATATAAAAGAAATTTTATGACAAATGCATTGTTAGCACAAGACACACATAAGAATGGCAAGTAATATGGTGATCACTTCAGGAAGGACACAAACTTATTTATAATGCTATATTTCTTTTGAATCGGTTAACTTGAATACAATTTAATATAAAAAAAAATATATATAGTACTCCTTTCCCCATACAACATAAATAAATATCCTACTGTAATGTAGCTTGTGATGTATACCACCAATAATATAATAAATATTTGCATCATACTGTACCTCTGACCACCACTGAGTTCACTAAGAGATTCTTTCCAAACATCTCCAAAGGCTACTTTCACCTCAAGTCCATCCAACACAGTCATTCCTTCAGGTGGTTGCAGTTTTGCTTTGGTACCAGGAAGCAATGTAGAGAATATTGAACCAAAGTCCTATAAAATGTGAAAACATAAATGCATGCAAAAAGATTCTTTAATCAAAGTCATCACAATTTATTCTCTTGTGAATATAATTTAAATTTTGCAAAATAACTAAAAAATATATTGTAATCACCACCTAAGACTCATCATATACTCCCCAAAATTTTAAATTTTCAACTTTGTTGTTAGTAACAACACCTCTCTACAAAAAATACTTTACAAAGATCAAATTTCTCTCTAGAAAATTAACCTGCCATTTCTCTGAGCAAAAGGCAATATGTAAACATAAATCCACAGTGTCTATTTCGAATTCCCATCTGATTTTGGTTGATAATATAACAGTACCCCTTCACTCAAACAGGAAAAATCTATTACAAATCTTGGCAGCTCTTTACATTAAAAGAAGGCAATTGACTGTAATTTTTTTTTTTTCAACCAATCAAGGCACTCATGTTAAAATTACCTTTAAACTGTAAAATAATTTTTATTGTGACACTAAAATCTATTTCAGTCATTGCATATTTCAAGCTTTCAACTGTTAATAACACAAAAATTATATTATTTCTGGCTTTTTCCTAGTTTTCTTTGGAAATGGTAGTCTGGGAAAATAACTTATTCAACACCAGAATAAACACACCAAAAGGCTCAACAGTTTGTTGGATTTAATAGAACATTCTACATTAAGCATAAGAGAAGAAATTAACTTACAATACAAGTTATAACAAACAAAAAAAATAAATATTGTCTTATAAAATGAAATTAATAAAAAATTATGTAAGGAAGAGAAGGTTAAGTGTAACTGACACCATGAATCAATCACCACAAGTAAAGGCAAGTCCTTCAAACTTTCCATTAAAACAACACAACCAGAAACATTTTAAGAGCAAAAATAATGAAAAGAGTAGCATATAAGCCAGTATCCATTGTTTTGTCACACACGGCATGTCCTGTTTTAGCTTTCCTTACTCATATGTGATGAACAACCACTTAAATTTATGAGTATCTTATAAGACAGCTGAACTATAATTAATATTGACAAAAAAAAAAATGGTAAGAGTATATTTCCAACATTAAAATACTATCATATGATGAGCAGCACTAACATATAAAAAACATACACATACATAAAAGCAAATTAAGGATGGCACTCTGATATCGTAAATAATTTTACCAAAAGTTGAATATTTTAACCAAGTACTGTATGCTGTCGTGGTGTGGAATGATTGAATTACTTGTAAGATTCATTTAGATTTCAATGACTAAATTTATTAATAGTTAAACAACTGTTTCTCTTAGGTTATTCAGCTATGGATGTAAAAAAAAAAAAAAAAAAAAAGAGAGTACGGCGGGGATATGTAGAAATTTTTATTTTTTCAGACAACATCTGAAAATGTAACTAAAAAATAAAAATGAACAAAAATTGAAGATACCAAGATAGTAATGGTTTTTAAACTGCATAAATATCTGTGCAGAATTTAAATGAATCTGTTCATCAACAAGACTGACAAGACAGAAAAGAATAAAAAAGATTTCAGAAAAACCTTTTCCTGATGTTTCTATAAAAATAAAAGATGCTGTCAGATATTAGCAAACAATAAAATACCAAAAAAGTTATAAAATACAATGGCTGAATCTACAAAATGCCAAAGTAAGTGCAAAGAATCAAAATCTTTATTAAAAGAAGCCAATTAGGGCTTTGGACACAAAACTAGAAAACCTTCCATATCCCAATAGTACAAATAAATTCAAGAATTATTAGCCTCAGAGATTTGAACTCATAACCAAAAATTGTCCACTAACCTTGTTAACTTGTTCCCATGCTTTCTTCAATGCTTCTTTCTTCATTTCATCCAACTCAGCAATCACCTGCGCAATTTTCATTTTGTCATTCAATACTATCTTTCGTTTTTTCATCAGATCATTATACTGAAAATAAAAAAAAAAATTATCAATTTATTCTTGACATAAAGAATAATTTGTTATTGACAGATTAATATTGTAAATGTTATTACAAGCATAGTATGCATTAAAATGATGGGATTATTTACATATGGAATGGCATTTCTACCTAAAATCAGATTATCACAACTTATCAAAATTTTTTTCCCATTGATTTGTATTAAATTTAAATTTGAACAAGGGAAGGACTCCTATCCAAAATATAGAAAGAGAAATCCAGAAGATGGAGATCACATTGGCAAGATCAAATTGAGACAATATGGACATCAAGTTGAGCAAGAAATCACCAATCAGTGGGTAGTGACTTACAATACATATTTGTTGTAACAATTCAACTGTCATATCAATGTTGAAATCTGCTTATCAATTCATTCAATCAAGTATTGTATCGAATACATATCAAAGGATTCAGATCAAGCTGTTTTTGCACACACACAGCCTAAATTTTTTCCCCCCTCTTTGATTTAAATTAAATTTAAATTTGAACAAGGGAATGACTCCTATCCACAATATAGGAGAAAGTCAGAAGATGGAGGTCACATTGGCAAGATCATGGAGTAATTCAGCCAGTCTAATATATATATATATATATATATATATATATATATATATATATATATATACACACACACACACATATACACTGCCTATTCACTTTTGCATAATAGAATTGTGAAAAGTTAAAGAAGGGAAGGAAAAAGTGCAAAGGTAAAAAGATAAATAGTAAGAAAACTAAAAAAAAACCAAAAAGGAAAGGAGTGGAAGGGATAGAGACAGACAGGTGTGTGGATTTTAGTGTTATCATTCCTTTACTCCTTTGATCTTTGAAAATGGATAAAGTTGGCTGTTCTGACCACCCATCTATGTATAAATAAATAAAATAATAGCATGTTAAACAAGCTGGTGAAAGTATAGACTACATAGATAAAACTAAAGAAATTAAATAGTATCCCCCCCCACAAAAGAAATTGCTATAAGTAATCAATAATTGATTAACAAAGAAAAAATTGTAAATGTAAGATGCAAACAAACATGCATATATTAACAAAATCAACTACATTTCAAATACCAATGACCAATAATCAGTCTCATTTGTAAAATTTCAAATTAATGAACATTTTTTAAAAACCAAATTTAACATCTCTAACAATACATATTTTAAGTGAAAATAGTATTAATCTTTTTCAAACACTCATTCATTAACCAGCTTTGGAGTGACCATATCAACCATCAGCCATGTAAATCTTTCACATTTGATGCAGATTATTCATATACTTGTAAAATCTTGATAATACATTAATAAGGATTGCAAATCATTTATTTGATATATGTTAAAGCAGTCAAAAGAACAATACTCAATTGTGCAAAAAAAAGTTTTAAAACAAATTTAATTAAAGAGTACCTAAGGCCAATTCAATTCTGTAGAACTAGGATAACAATTACAGTTGTTAATTTCCTCCTCATTTTTATGTAAAAATTAATGCGGTATCAAAAAGAAAAGAAAAAAAATTCAACATTACCTCTTCTTCTGCTTTCTCTAACATGTTCATAGCCCGCATGTTGATTGTGTGGCATAATTTGTCCTTTGTCTCCTGCAATTTATGAATACGAGCCTCAGCTACCACCGGGTCATTAGCTTCAAAATCATATGCTGTGTTTGGCTTTCCAAAAAATTTCTTTTCATCTGTGATCCAATCATATTTCTTCAGTAAATTCTCCACCTAGAACAGAAGACAATACCAGTGATGTTCATGCAAAATTGATCCAGTAATAATGCAGCTATTTTGAAGATCTTGAGAACAATTTGCACAGCCTTGATATAACTTGGCAATCACAAAGGATATTACTACACATATGAAAGCATTCCCCCACAAATCAGGGTATTTAGTCAGTAGAGAGATACCACTGGCTGAGTTTGTGTGATTGTTACTACATTCAGTGAATGTATAAAGTTTCATTTAAAATTTGTACATTCAGCCAGAAAAATTATTCAAGATCTCACTTTATTTATAATTTAGACAGAACAAGATGAACAAAGGATAATTTATTTTTTCAGCCCAATGGAACCCAAATGAAATATGACTCCCACTTCTGCCTGGATCTGCTTGGTTAAGCCTGCTGTGGCTGACTGTCAACTCTCCAACCAATTCCTGTCATTTCTGAGTCTGACATACAGTTTCACAGGCCATATCCTCAAAGACAATTAGACATATACATGAATTTATATAACCTGATCACATATTGTTCTCATTAGTCAACATCTGACATTAATGTCTACTTTATAAAGTAAAATCATTCAATTGAATACATTACTCTTCTATTTTATGGTTAATTTAAAATTAGCATTATCCATTGGTTACACATTTTGAACAACTGTGTATTTGAGCTGTATACTTAATGTTATACCTGTGATACTGTATCTTTGGACTCTTTTTGTAACTTGGTTTTTTTGTGGTCCAGTTGTTGGATTTCCAAGTTGATTTTCTTTTTTTTATCTTGAAAATCCTTCAGTTCCTTGTTAGCTACACGTATTTCTTGGTTGCATGCATTTAATAATTCTTTTTGTTTATTCAAGTTTTCCTGAGCTTCTTTAACTTGGGCCTGAAAAATACAAATAAAGTTCTTGAGAAAATTAACTTCAAGTTATTAAAATAATAAGGTGTTTAGTGTAATGGTTGACTGATTGCGTTTAAGTATAAATGCATTTTTTTGGCAGAGTGATACTTTTATGTGTTATATTGTGTCAAATATTATTTGGTGAGGAATTGATAGAAAGAAGAGGAAGTTAAGAAACAATACTTTCTGAACAAACAAAAATATGTCTTCAAGAAGAATATATTTCCTCATGTTCTGCCCCCTGTCAAGATTGACAATAGGTGTAACAATTTTTATTAATTATGAGACACTGTTTCAACACAAATGTCTATACACCCACTTTTTTATCAGAAATAATTTTTTCATCAAGATATCTGGAAATGGAACACAGTAAAGGGATAAGAATTCAAACAATCCCCAAAGGGGGTGAGTATAAATAACCCCAGCCAATTGACAATGGGACAGAGTGCAGAGATATGGAGTCACATCTTTCTAAAGGCAATAGCACTAAATGAACACAAATAGCTTCTGCTGAAATCTGAACTATTTAATTCCACTTTACATGCTAATAACTGCTACATTGCCTTTTGCCTCCATGTTAACATGTAGAAAACTTATAAATAGGTGAGAAAATAAATAAATAAAAATAGTAAAATGAGAAGTTAGAAAAAAAAAAAAAAAAAAAAAAATAAACATCTCAGGTAACAATATTTCAAAGCTAGAATTACATTTCTTTTAAATAAAATTCCTAGCTGAAAATCTCAAAAATAAAATCTAAACAATATACAATATCTTAGTCTTTGTTCCTACAAAATACAAAAAATGATAAATTATTTTACTTATTAATATGTGAAAATAGTAACCATGAGATGTTTTCATTAAAAATACAAAACATCAACATTACGTTAGTTTCAGCCAACTGTTCATTAACATCTTCCATTTGTTGTTTGTAAGTAGTAATTGCTTCTTCGACATTTTTCAGCTGCTCATCATAACTAAGAATTTCTTTTTTCAACTCTTCAATATCTAATTTCACAGTATCAATTTCCTGTAAACAAAATTAAAGTAAAAAATTCAATAATACTTATTAAAATTTAATATGTTAATTTAAATAAATTACCATAATTTCTTGAAAATAATACACATTTTTTACTGTAAATTACAGGTGATAGTGGGGGTGCATATTATAAATAGGTTTAAACAAAAATATTTTTTCATTATTGGTTTATAATAATAAATACATACTTCTTGTTCTAAAATAAGATATTATCCCAATTTTCATTTTAAATCCAACAATAATAATTGTAACATTTTTTTTTATCAATGAATTTATGTTTATCAGTAACTGCATTTTTTATTTGGTGAAAAAAATAAAAAATCTATAAAAAAGACAATTTTGAAGAAAAGAGGATATCAGGTTAACAATTTATTGAAATCTTAATTTTCATCATCATCACTGCTTTCTATTATAGAATCAATATCTAAATTGTCATTAAACAAATTATGATTCACAATATCATCATCCTGTGCAAAATTATCTTCGGCCTCTTCATTCTGTTGCCAAAGGATGTCATCTTCAGAGCCATTCATGGCTGTCATGAGACAACACTTCATGAAACCTCTCTTTATAACATCCTCGCTGATGGAATCCCAAGATTCCTGAATCCATTTTACAGTAAGTTCCAACTCTGTTTTTTTTCTGTTGCCACCAGCAGTAAAACTGAGAACAGCAGGAAACATCCAATCATTCCATCTCTCGATCAATGGATAGTTGCAGACAACATCCATTACTTTAAGTCAGCCAGTCATTCCCCCTGGTATAACAAGATCAGTCGTCTTCTCCTGAAGTTAGCTTCATTCAACTCATATTCTTTAGCTGCAGCTCTGTTTCCTATTCTTTCTGCTAATTCTATTTTTGTTTAAAATTTGCACTATAACTCACACGTTTTGACAACATTTTGGCAGTAAAATAAAATGTTATATTTATCGGGAAAACTGCATGGTAATTTTCAACATTATTTTAGCTGCTTAGTTTAAATTTTATTCTTAATGTCAAGGTCATAAAATGTCTTTGTAATTTTTTTTTTTTTTGACAAAATTTATAGATGCGTATTATAAGCAATAGATATATTTCTTAATTTTTGGATCATTTGTTGGGGGTGCATATTATTTGAGAAATTACTGTACTTCTGGATGCCTATATTGTTTGTTTATTACAGCTGATTCCTTCTTTGTGGTGCTCATAGCCAAAACTGCACCAAAAGAAGTATATAATAGAAATTCATTAAAAAGGGGAATTCTAGGTAAACTTTAAAATTTAACAAAAATATTTTTACACTGAAAATTTAAATGGTTGTATTGTTTTTAACAGCTTGAATGTCACTAGAGCATTTATTTTGAATAAAATCTGTTAAAGTTTACAAGCAAATTTTTTCTTTTAATGCCAAATAAGAAAATTCGAGTGAATCCCCTCCCCTGCAACAGACCTGTTGTTTTTGCTTCATTTGTTTGCCAGATTCTTCTTTTTTCTTTTTCGCTTTGTCAAGTGCTGTCTCTGCTTGTTTTAATTCCTTCTCTCTGATTTCTTTTGCATTCTTCATCTTATATTCCAAGTCCTTCACCTTTTGCTTGGCTTTCTTGTCTACTTCCTCAGCATTTTTCAGAATCTCTTTCTGCTCATCTTGAAGAGTATAAAAAAAAAAAAAATCCCTCAAACTTAAGGTTCGACAAAATGAAAAGTCACAACAAAGTATGAATTACTATTATGATTGCTAAGAACATAAACAGTCATCATGAAACATACAGTTCTCAGATTTTCAAATAAACAACTGTAGTCACTTAGTAGCACTGATTAGTGCATAAATCTCACAAAATACTAAAAAGAAAAAACCTCACTAGGATACAGTTCTTAGCATACAAACCCGCAAGCTATTGATAGTGTTTTATTTTTGACTAATATACAAATCAGTTTTAACTTCCCCACCACCAAATGTGTGCTTTATTATGTGATTTTTTTTTTTTTTTTTTTGAAAATCTACAGTACAAAAATTACAGCATATATCTTTCTTTGCAAAAAAAAAATGCTTTAATCCTAAGGTACTTCTGAGAATGTAATCACAAAGATAACAAATTCAGATCTCATAGGTCATCTGTTTTTAGTTTCAATTTAGATATAAAACAAATTATCCAAACATTTTAATCTTTCTATTCTTTTCAAATCATTTTTAATTGCCATTAATTTTTTTTTTTGTGATTCAACTTAAAATTCATTTTGGGATTCTATCAAGCAAAAAGGTTTCAGCATCAAAATGGCAAGTACCTTTTACTATCTCTTGTCTCTACACTTTTTGTATTACAATAAAAGATAAAAGCAAATGAATTTTCAACAGTAGAAATTTTGATCATACATAATAGCAAAAGGCAAGCCTCAGATTCTATAACAAGTATATGTTTAATCGGAAACTTATTTCAATAAATGAAAATTTTCAAATCAAGATCTGCACTAAACAATAAACAAGAAATCTTTAATAATCTTATGCTGTGAATATTTGAAATCTTGGTAATAGCTTTGGTAAAAGTTCATAACCTACCAATATTTTTTAATAGATTGTTAACCTCTTCCATTTGCTGATGGTGAGAAGTCTGTTCCAGTTTGGTTTTAAGCAATTCTGTTTCATGCATCTTCAGTTCAGACTGCTGAGTTAACTGTTGGAATCTAAGCAGAAAAAAAAAACAGTAAAGTTCAGTATCAAAATTAAGAACACATATCTAAGAAATAATTGCTGAAAATTATGTAAAAAGATTCAATTGCAAAATATTTTTTTTTTCTTCAAATATCAATTTTGCAACAAGTCATTTTTACGTAGAGAAGAAAGTTAATTCAACCCAATTACTGTATAATATCATTAATACAGAATATTTACATATAATTTCCTTTGGATAAAAAATATATACATTATTGAAATAGTTAACTTGTAGAGAAAAAAAACAACATAATAAATAATGGCTCAGCCTTAGAAAAAAAAAAAATTAATGTAGAAAGTGTCCATTAAAGACCACAGAATAGTATTGGCAATATGCCCAGGTTAAAATAAAGGTACCTAGAGAAAATACTAAAGAAATATTAAATATAGGTACATCTATAGATTAACAATACCTAATGAAATTTTAAATATGAAAAATCTTTCTTAAAGCTTTTATTTTAGTTTTTAATTTCAAATTAAGACTAAATTTAATATTTCTAATAAGCAAAAAATAAAAACTAACCTAAACTGACTGGAAGTAGTTTTTTTTTCTTCTTTTTGCTAAAATAATCTGATTTCAGCAACAATTTTACCCCACTTTTCTCTTCATTAAAAAAATCTTCCAAAAATAAAATGTACTTTTTTGAAACTTTTTTTGAGGAATATTAGCTGATTTAAAGTATAATTAATCTGGCTTGAAGAAAATATTATTTACTGTAAGTTTAAAATATTGCAGAAATGCATTCTTTAACACAGTGGTAACTGTTCATTTAAGATCTTGACAGCTTGTTGACTTCATGATTGGTAAAGATAGTTTTTACCTAATAGTATCATCTAAAAGAGTGAAATTAATACAGAATTTTAAGATTTAATATTTAATGAATTATTCTAATTAAAAAAATAAAAATAAAAACAATTGTAAAAATTCATTGAAAAAACATTTTTTCTCAAGACAATAGTGTTCATAATATATCTTAATTATAAAGCAATTAAAAGATTTTCTAATTAAATAATGTCTTAGTTTTATTACATTTTTTTTTTATTTTACAACTCAGAGCAGATGCTTTGTAAATGGGGTTTCTGTAAAAAAAAAAAAAAAGTGCAGCTTTTAACTAATATAAGTATTAAGTAGGTAAAAATTTAATTTCTTGAAATTTCATAAAAGTAAGTGGGGGAGTAAACACATGTTAAAAAAAAAAAAAAAATAATAATTTAATTCATTTGTGGATAAGTCCTGAAAAAGTTTCATTAAAATCCAATAATAATTTGCAAGAATTTCCAAATCTGTATTTTTCAAAACTTAAAATTGTTTCTGATAACTTTATGTCTACTTCAACAAATCAGAACATCATACTTGGCTACATTCATAATACATTTGTCGCTGCCATGTTTCCTACAATCATTGGAGGACATGTCCAAGCGTCAGTTTATTGTGGTATGAAAAAATAACCCACCCGCCTCCACTCTGACCTTATTTTTCTATTTTAGCATAGATCTGATCTTTAATTGGTTAATCAAGATTTAGCCACAATTATATTTTTTTAATTCTGACCTTATAGCCAGCCCCACTTCCAAAGAGTTAACGATTTGTTTTTAAATTTCACTGATAAATCATTTTTATTACTAGGTACCTACCATTGCCTGAGATAATACAATCATAGTATTGAAACATGAAAGATTTTGTGTAGCAATGTAAAATGTTTTTATTATAATCTATTATAATAATATATTTTGCTCTACTTTGTATTGAACATTTTTTTAAAAAAGTAAATGCTACAAACTGTGGATTTTTACTCTATCTGTTCTTTCTCTTATTTGTATGTACATGTGTGTGTACATATGGCAAAGTTAAGAAAAGTTTTTGTGATGCATTTCATCCTTTAGGACTTCATTGAACTAAGTTTGTTTACGTTGATGTGACTAGATATGTGCATGAATGGGAGATACTAGGAATTTTAAATGTAGTCGCATCAACTTAAAATAAACCTAGTCTGATGAAGTCTTAAGAGGCAAAAATCGTCATATGGAAATTTTTCCCACTTTGCCACACACACTATATATATATATATATATATATATATATATATATATATATATATATATATATTATATATTACTCTAAGAAAATTAATGGCAAGAGTTTATGATTTTATAGTACTATAATTTTTATCTGAATTTTTTTTAACATTTTGGTGGTTAAAACTCTTTAATTGTAAATAAATAATAAAAAAAGTTTAAGTACAAATTATACAAACAATAAATAATTTGGACTTACTTTCCAGACATTTTTTGCATGGCATTCAATTCTTTTACGACTTTATCCAAAAGTGCCTGCTTTGTTCGTAGTTCCTCTTCAACTTGAATCAATTCTTGCAGTTTAACCAAAATTGAACTGGTTTGTGGTCGAGAACCTAATATGATGAAATATAAAATCTACTACAAAACTGAAACAAAATAATCAGCTACAGTGGTATCAGTTAAAGTGAATTTTAGAGATATTTAACAAACAACTTTGAGTGTTGTTTAATGGATGTGAAATTTATTAGTTACAAGTTACTATCCAACAACTACTAATGCTATTTATATCTTACTACTACTAATATCAAAAATGTAAAACTAGTGTAACCCTATGTGGGATAGAAGATCATCTCTGAAATTTGTGAGTCAGCTACCAACAAGATAATGGTGACTAAATCAGTATCAAGAATTAATGATAAATTCAACAGCTCAATGTACTCCTAACAAGTCTTAATACTGAGAGGATATATTCAGAAAATACCCAAGAGTACTAATACTATTTGGTTATAATAAATTAATGTATACTACCCAAAAGTATAACAACTCTTGTAACATAACAGCCAATGATGTAGGCATAACATCCAAGTGTAACATTGGTAATAAGAATAATTAGACATTGTTATCTTAAAAAGAAAAAAAATATATGTAACAATATTAAATTGAATATTTTGCTTATAAATTAAATAAAAATAGCAGAAGAAAAAAAAAATCAAATGGTTCTAAACGGTTCCAAAATTTTTTTCCTATTTTGTTTTGTAGGAAATTCTGAATAGCAGGCTTCACTTTTTAATCACAAGATCCTGGTAACCTGATTAACCTAGAAGTGCAAACATTTTACTAACTTTTCCACAAAGGGACTGTTTAAAAGACACTATCATAAGAACTTACATGACATATAGTCTCTACAACAAATATGATTCAAAATTGACTCCTTTGAAGTTTATTACAATAAAAGTAATTGCAATGTTTGTTTTTTAATGGTTTCAAATTCATGGTCTGTTGTAATTACATGTATCAAGTAACTTACCTCCAGTTAAGGTACCAGCAGGATCAAAAGAATCACCTTCCAAAGTTACACTTCGCTTCATGATATTTTCATTAAAAGTCACTTTTTTGGCTAAGTCCATATTCTTACAAACAAAGCTAGAACCAAATACATATTCCATGGCAGCCTTTAGTTCCTCTTCATATCCAACCAATGAAAGTGCTGTATGCACATTTCCTTTACCAACCTATAAAGAAAAGACCAATTTTTTTTTTAAATAAATAAATCTCTCTAAAAATATCTTTTTTTAGCTTTAGTTAAAATAATATTAAAAAGATGAATTTTGAACATCACAACCTTAAGCTGAAAATTCTTGGAGTTCAATCCCTAATCACAGTCACAGATTCAAGATTTATGGTGGTTATATGCACAATGAAGAAGTCACTTTTGTATATAATCATAGGTTACAGTTCAGTTAGATATTTATAAAGTTTCAAAGTAATTCAATTTGTGTATAATTCACTAAGATGATATGTTCAGGTACTTTCAATGCTACTGAGTGATTGACAAGTATTCAGATAAAGCAAACTGAGAATTAACAGTATTCAATGTAGTTGAATTAATTTCTACAGCTTTACATTGCTTTTTCTACCTCATATAAAAAAAGTTTTAAAAGAAAAAAAAAAAAAAAAAAAAAATTTTTTTTTAAAAAACAAAATTAAATTAAACTTTAATAAGAGTGAGGAAATTAAAAAATATTTATATAGAAACATTTGACCTACCAAAGTATTAGCTTTCTGCACAATGTCAGAACTTATTTTCCTGGATACAATCTTGTTCAAAGGAATAATTGTGTAACGTCGTTTTAATTGTCCTTTCTGTACCAATTTTTTGCCAACAACTTCGGTGTCCACCACAACATTGTACAGCTTAAATAGAAAAAAGGAAAGAATAACTAAGAAATTCTACTAAAAAAAATAAGTTTAAATAAAGAATGCTCTGAAACTAAGATTTTTTTTTTTTTTTTTTTATTTAACTGTTCATCCAATACAAGACATTGTTACTGAATGAGGCTGTTCTATGAATGCAAGAAGATTAGGTAAGAAGTGCAGATTATTATGATAATGGCTGACCCTAGAAGAAGTTAAGATTGTTCAACAAAGCAGCTGTTCTTGAGAAGAAGCTGTCTGAATAGATCTTCCTTGTTACTAATGAAATATAAAAAAGAATGAAGATGCTTTCACCCTGTGTATGTGGCTGTGAAAGTCTGAACTGGTAGAACTAAGGGGATGTAGCTCACCAGAAAATTTTCCTTGGATATAGCAATAGAGTAGCAAGTGGTTTGCAATGCTTTGTTTGCGGGAAAGGGGTTATAAATTGGAAACTAATCCATCACCCACAAGCCACATGGATAGTTTTGAATGCTTATAAAAACTGGTAAGAATTGGACAGCTCCAGCCCAAATATGGTAGCAATAATCCATTTTTGGTCTGATCTGATTAAGAGCATGAGATATATATATATTATAAATTAACTGATCTAAAATATGGTTTCTTTGCTACACATTAATAACCATGTTTCAAAAACTGAAGGTAAAAACTTCAAATTTAATTATATAAATAAATTAAAAGCATTAGTTCTGTTTCATCTTCAAGCAAATTTTGGAATAACTTATTTTTAAATTTACTGAGTTTTAAACACACATAAATTCATAATTTCTTGTTTCCAAGGATACAGAGAAATCCAATCATTTAGACAGGGGCAGTAGTGTACTCATTTCTATTAACTATTGTTGTATCAATTAGGAGTTACGTTTGAAAAAGAGGTTAAGTTTAGGGAGGGTAGGGGGTGCATTTTTCAACGAATTTTGACATCCGTTAAACACATGTCGTCTGTTTTTTTTATTAATGACAAAAGGTTTTTTGGCATTTTTTCCATTAAATTCACTTAAAGATTCTTTCTAAAAGAGGTGTTATTTTAAATATTTTAATATTATTTTTACTCTTAATTATGAATAGACTATATTTCTTTTTAAATCAAGTAAATGTAATAGAATTACTTAAATTATTTAAAAATTATTACATATCAAATATTAGTAAGTATATTACCAGCTCCCTTTTTTTTTTTTACTTTTTTAATTTTTATTTTATTTTTAAATATTATTTAAGGAAAATTTTTGACAATAATGGCAAAAAATAGTTATTTCATTTCTCTGATTCAGTAAATTTTTATTTTTTTATAAACTTAGTAATATATAGTTTCTCATATATGCACAAAGGACATGGTTCATTTAACAACCTACATGTTCTAGCTTTTCTTATTAATTTTCATTATGCTTTGTAAATGTGCATTGAGCACCGTTTTGTAAAAATAAAAAAATATTATCAATAAGAACATCATCTTATATATCTTACTATTTTTCTTTTTATTATAAAATATATATATATATATATAAGTGACAGAAATTATTAGGAGGATTTAAAATAAACATAATTAAGTAATTCATAGAGTCTAGAAGAATCCCCAACAGAATACAGAAAGCACTGGACAGCTGTTTTGTCCTATATTTGGGACACATCAGCAGTGTGCATCCACTACAGAGAATTGAACCCAGACCGTTACAATACAATGCAAGCATCATACCAACTGTACCAATGGGCCTCAGTGATGAAGAGGTAACTAATTAAACTATATAGCGTCGCTTTTCACAAATTCGGAGGTGTAATTCATCCAAGTTTCCCTAACCCAACAGACTGTGCCCCCACAAGCCACATCTTCTGTCCCCAAGCAGCACCATCCAGAGCATTAGAAGCTGGTTCAAGTAAGGATATACAAGTGAAAGAAATTATTAGGAGGATTTTTTACATATTTCCATATATATATATATATATATATATTAGTTCTATGTGAGATGAATGCTAGATCCAATAGACATCGAAAGCATGGAGCCTCATTGAGAGTGCAAGCATTCCTTGTCACTGAATATTCAGGGTTTGATTGCTAATGATAAAACAAGTATAATTAGAATAAAACTGAAAAGCAATCTTTTAAATATTTTTACTATTTTGGTATTACACTATTTTGAAAATTGTTAAAAACAAAAAGATAATTAAACACTTTAGATTCTTTTCCAACAGGATTATGTTCTTTAATTCTCATATTAAACGTGCTCTTACCAAGATTATCAAATAGTGGAAAAACATATTGAAGACAAAACACAATGTAAATAAATAAGAAATTAAAATATCAGATTTTAAGGGAGATAAAGAACTAAGTTTAAGTTTATAGCTTTACCTTACTGCCTGCAACAACTTCAAGAGCAGTCCCTGTCTCAGGATCTTGTACTTTTACCAGTTTACACACTAAACCATGAACTTTACTCCGATCAAAGCCAGGTTCAGGATTGGTATACTGGAAATTTAAGTGAGGAACCCTGACAAAAACAAACAAAACATTTTTTAAACTTGGCAAAGTAAATCAGTTGACCAACATGTGTAAATGATATCAAAGTTACATAAAAAAAAAATTAACTATAAAAGAAATACCAGTATTTTTATGATACAACAGTTATCAGTTTCTCCAGAAATAAACAACAAGTTTTTTTTAACAATGATCCCAAAAGGCATGAGTGTTGACAATGATAACTGAAATAAACTAAAAATATTGTACGAAGCAATTCTTTGAAGTTATATAAAAAAAAAGGGGGTGGGGATTTCTTAACTTAATAAGAAAAGAAAAATTATAAGCTGAGGTTACTAAGATTTCTGGTAAGAATTGATCTCCTAGCCATTTTTTTAATAATCTCACCCCAAGCAAAGCAATAATGCCACTAAGACACAAGGAGTGTAAGAGAAAACTTCAGCAAGAAGAAAGACCAATAAAAGAACAGGATTCAGGAAAACAGAAGATGGTGATTGATATTGCATTTAAATTTTTGTAGGTGGCAGGTAAACAAAAAAACAAAATAGAATAAATTTTCCACAGGTGAAAAGTGCAAGAAAAGAAACTATTAGAATAGAACTTACAGTTACATCTAACTAATTCAACAGTAAAATGATGAGACAGAGTAGCCAATCTAGTAGTATGCTTAAATTCATGCAGTCAAGGTACCGGGGAGGGGGGGCGCTCATTAGAACTGCCATGAAAATATTTATAGAAAAGACAGAGGGAAGCCATGTCACAGCAACTGAAGTTGAGAGGACAGGTCAGGACTGATAACATTACAGACTCTTCTTTGGGTTTTGTCAAGAATTTTAAGATATATAGCAGCAGCATCAGACCAGATATAGCATTAATATTCAATGCATGGACAAATGGTAGATTTATAAATATTGTCACAGGTATCTGTGTATGCAGGTGGGAGCAAGGGTTCCTCACACATCATCTTATGGTGTGGATCGAGAAGCCTTCCCCAGCTAATTAGCATTAATGAGCTTGTCTCTCTTCCTCTCTCCCATTCCCTTCCTCTGTCTCTTTCTTTCTCCCTCCGCTCTCCCTTCATTTCTTTACTTGTATATGCAAGCCCCTCACTGATGGAGACCAGCCCTTGCTACTAGGCGGAAATAGAATAGACAGGCGATGAGGTCAAGGACACAAAGAAATGATCATGAGACTGATCGGAAGGACAACACCTAGTCGACCAAGTCTAGTTAGTTGTAATCAGAGAAGCCTCGTCAACAAAACTTCCAATTCTGATCAAATGATATAGCCAAACTTTGGAGGTCCAAAACTTGCAATGGGAAAAGAACTTAAAGCAGTAGACCAAGATATCTATATATGACTGGTTAATATTCATCGGATACAAAGAGCCTACCATGATAGACATTCATTACGATATTCACTGAAGAATGTTATCTGTCGAAATCAGCCTGATTCCAGATTAAGGAGCATGGCTTGCTTAACCTGACACCCCCCCTCTCACCTCCTCATCTGAGCCTCAAAGCCATTATTGCCATATCAGGAAGTTAACAGAACCCCGAGTGATAAAAGCGAGGATAAACAGACAAATACACAGCAGACTAAGAAATGTAAAATAAGGACAATCTGAATTACAAGCCCAGTTAAGTATCCTGATCTATCCTTTCACATCTCCCACACATGTAGTGAAAAGTTAAATGCTGCATACACCATTCCAATAACACAATCTTGTCCCCACCCCCACCTTTTCTCTTTTCATCCCTGTGTGTGTGTGTGTGTGTGTGTGTGTGTGTGATTCCTTGAAGTTGATTAGTTTTTTTTCTGGTCAATTCATATTTGCTGTTCATCTTTAAAAATTTGTCATAATCTAACAAGCCTGTCTTTGTTGTGTATACCCCACTGTGTGACCAGTGACCTGTCAGAATGCCTCCCTATTTTTTATTTTTTTTTATTTTAATAATTATGTGTGGCATGCCATTGAAATATGTCAGGCTGAAACAATATGGAAGATGGATTCTGGTAAGAAAGATTCTTTGTTATATTTCTTAGCAAAATAGAAAACAATATAATCACCCATCTTCATGTCAGTAGAAAACATGATCAAAGATGACAGAATGAATTGCTCTCCTGGATGTTAGCATCAACCATGATGATGAAAGACAAAAATGGTTCACTATGAGGATTGAAGGATAGCAGTTTCCTTTTGGAGCCATTAAAATTTACAAGCAGTTTCTTGCCCAAGTTTTACTTTGTCGGACCAATTGGACTTATTAAAACAGGAGTAAATAGTAGTGCCATCAGCATAAATACCTAGCTAGAAACTGATGATATTGGGAAGGTCATTGAAGATAAAAAAAAAAAACAACCTAAGTGCAAGGATAGAGCCCTGGGGGATCCAACATTAATGTAAAATAATCTAAAAGCATGGCTGTTCAACACTATCTTCATTACTCTATGTGTTAAGAACAATCAGATCAAATCAAATATCCAGCCAGAGACTATAGCCCTTGAGCTTGTAGAGAAGGGCAGCATGCCAAACTTTGTCAAATGTCATCAAGATATATAAAGCCATAGCCCAAGCCTCGTCATCCTTATTGAAAGTCTCATAAGCAAATTCAGTAATAACCATTAATACATCGGTATTTGATCTAGCGAAATAAAAGCCATATTGTTTACCTGAAAAGTGAAGTGAGATGCTTCACCAATTGATTAGAGCCTCTAGTACTTTGACAAAAAGTAAAATCACATAATAATTTGAGGGATTAGAAGGTTCAGTAGAATTCAAAAAAGACATGAACTGCAGATTTTCAACAAGCTGGAAAGCAAGAAGCAGCAAGGCATTTGTTGTAGAGTTTGTAGAGAACAGAAGCCAGTTGAGAAGCACATTTCCTTAGGACGGTTGCAGGGATACCATCAAGTCCACAAGCCTTTTGTGAATCTAGCTTTGAGATGATATCAGAAACCAATGAGAGAGTAATTTTCATATCACTCAGTGGAGATTCTGTTCTAGAGAGAAAATCAGGCAAAGATTCTCCTAAAGAGTAGTGTTCTTAAAATTGTTCTATTAGTTATTATTGTTAATTATACCTAGTTCATAAATTAAACTTTATCAAAAGATGCATGTACAGGAAATGAAAAAAGTAATAAGATAAAGAAGATTCAGTACTTTTTATGATTTCAGGTATCCAGTAGGGGTATTGGAACATACCTCTGCTAATAGGGGCTGTGTATACAAAATTATTAATTTTCAATAAGATTCTTTAATTTACCTATACCCATGTGGATGTGATCTGGCTCATTGTGGTTTGTCTGTTACCACTGACAATTCTAGCTCAATGCCTCTGATCACAATCACAAGAGACATGTGGTTGGCCATAGCACTGTTCATAGTAGGCACATTCTGATACACATGACACCATTGAACTGAGGAATATCAAATGTCCCCACAATGGAATGTCCCATCTATAGGACATCCGCTATTATGCTCCATTCAAACTCTAATAATTTATGTTACCTTGCCATAAGCAACCTAGTTGGTATTCACACAGACTCACCAGACATCACAGCACCATTGATAGGTGCAGACATTTCATAATGGATAACAAAAACTTAAATGTGCTAGCTATTTTTCATAGGTTCTTTTAACAAAATAATACTTTAAAAACATGAGTACTTAATTTCATGGTGAATTGGTGGCACCAAATTTAATGCTGAAATTAAATACATCATGCAGCAGATAAAGATTATCTGAGAGAAGAAGAAAGATGTAACTATTATTGGTATGAATTTTACCAGTAAATGCATTTATACCAGATGAAATGAGAACTGATGTGGTTGCCATGAAAAGTAAAGTGATTGATAGAAGTATGTAACAAAGTTACTGGTATGGATTTTACCAGCAAATGAATGTATAATAATTGGTAGCTGGTTGGAACAAATATTCTTGTAGTTGTAAGTAGGGTAAATTGCAAGTGGTTGAGAGAGAGTTGTAACTGTTACTGAGATGAATTAACTGGATAAGCTGATGTGAAAAACATAACCAAACTAAGTAATTTGGATTTTACAAGCATACCAAAAGTTACCTCAAGACCTGGTTTTTGGAGAAATAAAAAGCATTTGATAGCAATAAAATAAATTAGTACCTAGAAGGGTTTGAACTCATGAATTAACAGTTTTTTTTTTTTTTTTTTTTTTTTTAAATCGATAGGAGCAAGTGAAACAAGGAAAACGCACTCCTCATCCCCAACTTGTCACTGGAAAAAAATTAGGTTGGATTGCAGATCAAATTCAACACTGAATTTGTTTTTAATCCATTCACCCCTTTTGCCTTGATTTTATATAAATTAGGAATTCTGTTGACCCTGAAAATGTCTGCTACAAGAGTGAGGTCATCAAAAGTTCCCCCCTGATACTATGCACATATACAAATTAACTTGTAACCTGATACTTGAAAGGAATCTATTCATTGGTGGGACTAATATATTAGTCCCTATATTAGAAGGAGCAGTACAGAGCAGTTAGGCAGAAGAGAAAAAGCAGTTAACAAGAAAATCAGTCAGAGTCAGGGGATGCAAACAGAAAACAAAATGTAGCAAAGCTGACATCACTTATCCCTCTTGCCACCTGTTACTCCACTCCTTGCAAGACACAACCCAAGAATAATTTTGTCAACTGAAGAAATTTCTCCAGCCTACAAGTTTTCATTAACATATTAACAATTAAGTGAAAAAGCTGGAGACCAGATTTTGAAAACCAAATTTGTCTGCAGACTTGAGAGCAAAGTTCCCTGTTTGAATTGTTGAACCAACTACCATTGACTTGTCTGGAGCATTGCTGTTGCTCCATTATGTTATGAATAACAATGATGCCTACTAACTCACAAATTGGCAGTAGAGAGATAAACCACAACATTGAAGAATTTTGGAAAGAGATAATCCGATAGATGCAACCCTTGACAAATAAATTCTATGATGTTGTTTTTACAAGTAAGAATCAGTTTTCTGTTCTGGAAGTCACTTCCTTTTTTACATTTTTTGTAACTTGCCCCTTTAGCTCCTGAGGATGTTTCAAACAGCTTCATCATCAGATCAAAAACTTAAACACAACATGGATAGGGATGATCAACTGGTGAAGTGAGCCACCTAGGCAGTAGTCCTAAACCCACCTGAGTGTCTGGAGGTGGTGGCAGGGTCTTGTCATATAAAAATGCATTTTTTGTAAGTATATTAAGAGAATAAGTATTCTGTAAATATATTAAGTAACATTAGGAAATAATACAAGTTGGAGGTGGGAGAGGCAGTAAGATTATAACAACAAAATGATAGTTAAGATCATTTAACTTTCAGTAAAGAATCTAATATTGTTATCTAAATTCTATAATTGAGGAAGAAGGTAAAAAAATAGGTGACAGCATAAAACTGCAACTATCTTCTATTTTAATAGAATGTAATTATATTTGTAATACAAAGTACAGAATCAAAAGAAAAATTTATCAAAAACTAAGTGCAACATTATGCAGCATAGAAAGCTAAAAAATATTTTTTTAAAAATACAATTAAAGATTTTCTTTCCGTATATATTCATATATGAAAATACAAAAAGACTAATAAATTGAGCTTCTAACATCAGTAGACATGACAATTGAATACAATTCTAATTTATCAATGTTGTTAATGCTGCTGCGAACCTAAATTAGTGATGTTATTTATGCTATTCCTCTAGAAGTGATGTTAAAAGTTTTTAGACAAAGGCTAATTTACAATATGCCAATATATCAACAATGATCTAATAACAAAACTAAAACAGCTAAATCATAAAGGCATTTAATACCAATTTTGTTATGATCAAAAAAGCAAACAAAATAGCATTACTGACTTAGACTCAAGTGTATCAAATTTTTCTTGCAAATGATGAACATCTTCAGTGAGCTTTTTCTTTTCAACGGTCAATGTCTTTTCTCTGTTTTCATCATAGTTCAATTTCTTTAGTTCAGCCTAGAAAGAGAATATAGAAAACTAAGGTTTTCTTTACATTTACATACTCTGTTAAGAAGTGATAAAGATGACAACATATAAACAAAAAATAAATACAAATAAAATGTTCCTTTCATAATATACTGATAGACAAATTCAATACTATTAACATTAACTTATGATTAATTAGACATAGAATGAAAACTAATCCCACATTTTAATGGCTTTACAAAATACTTAAAAAGAAACAAAACTGGAATTATCATGGTTAAGAATTCACCCGAAGCATTCACTGTCTAAAAGATTTATACAGAATATTTTTAAATAAACTCTAAACAGTATGCACAAAATTGGAGTTTTTATTCAAATTTATATTTAATAAAATTGATTGCTTTTAACATTTTGAAGTTACATTTAATAAATATTATATAGTTTAGAAATTTTCAGTCATAGAAGAGTTGGAGTGCTAAAGGTTTAAAATCTGACATGAAGCTAGTAAGCTTCATGTCAGATTTTAAACCTTTAGCGCTCTTTAGCTGACTGTTTGCCAAGTAAAATATTTGCCCTGTTACTGTAGACAAATCCAATTGCCAAATGATAGTGAATTTAAATTTTGTAGTTGTGTTTGTTATATTCTTCTATAACAACACTAAAAACGATCTTAATTGTAATAAAAAAAACTAAGAGACTGCAATTAAAGAGCTGTCATATAGTATCATGGAAAGAGATACTCCTAAATATTGTAAATTTTTCTTTGCTAAGGATGTAGTTACATTTTACAAAATATTCAACAATGACCATAAAATGTACCAAAGATACAAAAACAAATGAATGCAATAAATAAATTTTCTTGTGCACTACTGACTTCTTTAAGTTAATTTTAATTAGGTACCTCCACAGGTTCATGATACCTAAGGCTTAAAATGAATTTTTTAAAATGAAAAATCTTTCTTGAAGGTTTTATTTTAGTTTTAATTTCAAGCTAATGGATTAATAATATTTCCAATAAGCAAAATTTACTATTTCAAAACTAATTTAAATTGACACGAAAAAGTAAAAAAAAGAAAAGAAAGTAAAACAACTGATTTCAGCACCACTTTGATCCCACATTTATCGCAATAAAATTTTCTTTATTAAAAAAAAATCTTCCAAAAATAAAATACACCTTTCGGAAACTTTATTTGAGGAATATTAGATGATTTAAAGTATAATTAATCTCATTTGAAACAAATATTATTTACTTTAGGTTTAAAATATCACAGAAATGTTGTTTATGTGATGACAACTTGACCACAGATGAATGTCTAGTAATATTATTCTGTGTGTGTGTGTGTGTGTGTGTGTGTGTGTGTGTGTGTGTGTGTTGTTGTTGTTGTTGTTTGGGAGAGGGCAGCAGTGCTTTATCCATAAAAAAATAATTGAGTATAATGTGAGCACCTTTTACACATAATTTTTAAATACTTAGTAATCTTAAAGATTAGTAAAATATTCTCTGTAATCCAATGTTTTATTGAATTTTAGATACTTTGGCTTTAAATTTACTATAGTTATTGCTCTTATTTTCTGATAATGTCGTATATGAACACCCATACCTACAAAAATCAGCATGTTTATACACATACAAAAAATGTTCAAAATTCTTTTAAAAATATTAGTGTTTGATGAATTGTACTACTTTTCAATTTATGATATATATAGTTTTTAGTTAATAAGAAAAAAAAAGTTGAAATTAACACAGAATTTTAAAAGATTTAAAACTTAATTTTTCTAATTAAAATTTAAAAAAAAAACAATAAAATGAAAACAATTCTTGTAAAAATTAATTATTCATAAAAAAAATTCTGAAAATATTTTATTCTTAATATATCTTATTTATAAAAGTAATTAAAAGATTTTCTAATCAAATAATGTCACAGCTTAATTGCATTTTCTATTTTACAATTCAGGGCAGATTTTCAGTAAATGGTGTTTCTATTTTACAAAAAAAAATTGATGATTTAAGTTCTGCTTTTAACTAATATAAATATTAAGAGGGTGAAAATTTAATTTCTTGAAGTGGGGGGTAAAAAAAATTATAAAATAATTTTTTTTCGCTTATAAATAAGTCCTGAAAGTTTCATTAAAATCTGACAATTATTTGAATTTTGCATAAATTTCCAAATCAATGAGCAAAACAAAAACACTAAAATGTCCTATACTAATTTGCACTCCCGCCCCCAACAAAATTTTTAACCAAAATTTTGAGTGTTTTAAAAAGGATTCAAAAATATAATTAAATAATAAAAAAATAATTTGATCTTTCCTCTTAATAATAAAGATTTTGGCAATAAAACCTTTCTTTTATTTTTTATTTATTTATTTTTTTTTTGAATGAAGTTTGGGTCATTTTTTTCATTATGGTATTCTCTTTTTGTAGCAAATTAGTAGAGGTACCTAAATTAACATTCAACACACTTTAGGAAAGTCAGCTTTTCATATGCTTACTAGAAAAAAAAAAATTGTAAAGAATTTACTGTTACTGCAAATCTACCTCAATTTTTTTAAGGCTCTCTTGGGCAGCTTTATATTCTGCTTCATTCTTCTTATAACTTTGCTCAGTTTTTTTCAGTTCTGTTTGTTTCTTCTTCACCTCCTCCTGGGAATGTTTCAACCTGGTCAGAAGAGAAGATATAAATATAAGAGTTTAAGGAACAGAAACATTTGTATAGATCAGAGAACATAAAGCATCATTTTATTTTTGAACTTACAAAATGAATATAATAAACAAAACTGTTTTTGTTGCTCCCTGACAGATTTTTTAAAAATATTCTTGTAAAGACAATATTAAAAAAAAAAAAAAAAACAAACAAACAATACCTAAAATTATAAGTCACCTAAGCAGTAATAATCATTAAGTTTTTGAGCAAAAAGACAAAGATATTGTTATCAACAGATTTAATAAACAATAAATACACAACAAAACTGTTTATGTTGTCATAAAAACCTGAAAAAGGGACAGATGAATTGCTTGTAATATCTACAGACCTAGTCAATATTAATTAATAATGGTGATTGTTATACGAACAAAAGAACTATAGAAAGAATATGCAATGCTTCAAGTTGACAAGCATATACATGTGTGATGATGTCTTCTGCATATAACTGCAAAAGCTGTGATGACATCCAAGGTTGGCTGTACATGTGTATACACCTGGTTCGCTATGTTCACAGATTTGTCTCACTGGCCATGATCGAATTCAACAAAGAATAATGACAAATACTTTTCAAGATACTGATTGGGAAGTAGCGATCAATATGATTTCTCACTTAATGAGCAATGTCTTCCTTTGGCTTCAAGAAGGTTAACTGCTGCTATCTTATTAACTTCCGGCCACAGAAAAAAGACCCTTACATTCACCGCCCATGGTCTCAGCAACTGCTGACTCACTGACTGCTAGTCTCTTCCTCAGACTCCTGCTCAGTCATTATAGGGTACCACCACTCCTATCCATTTACTCAAGCTCTGGAAAAGGAGACTACCCATTCAGCTTTTGGGTGGTCAGTTTTTTCAAAGGACTTTACTTTTATGATTATCTAAAATCACTAACAAAATTTTATGTTTGCCAGTCAAAGGCAGGCTGAAGACAGGAATCCTGAAAACACTGGTCATTAAATTGACTCAAAGATGGACTGGAGACATGATTCCTAAGAAACTCTGGTCATTAAATTGATTTAAAAGGAAAAAGAATATATTTATCTCCTAATGATGTGTGAGAAATTGTATTGCTACATATGTGGATGACATTTTTTGTAATGCAATAAGAGTAAATCTTTAATAATTTTATAAGCATCATTTGTTTCCTCTTATCTTTCAGATTGATAATTATTACAAAATTGAAATCATAATTTGCCACTATATTCAAACATAGAATTAAAAAAAAATAACCTTACCGCATTTGAGCTTGCTTCGTTTCTGTAGCAGCATTGCTGATTTCATTTTTAGCAGCTGTGAATAATTAAAAAAAAGAACATTATGGACTGTATTAATGTTTAAAGCGAATTTTATTTGCCCTGACAAAATAAAGTACAAACAGGTTAAATCTTCAAAGTTCTGTTATAGAAATAAGATTTTTAAAATCATCTTAAATATTGTTATAACACCCCCACTTCGAGATATTTTACCAACTGAACATTGTTCCTTTTGTATTATATTAATGAAAAAAAAAAGTTTGATTGAAACTATTAATTATAATTTTATGTGCAATGAAATAAAACTGACAAATTTTAAAATGCTAGTAATTCAAGCAGTTTTTAATTAAAAAAAAAAAAAAAAAAAAAGTTTTAATTTCGTTGGAAATTGTGACACTGAGACTAGTTCCTAGGTGAAAGTCAACATTTGTGCAAACATAGAAATACCAAGTGAAACCACAATCATCTCCTTGGTTGCCTGTTTAGCCACCATAGTGAACATGAATCACTTTTGGCTATACCAATGTGACTGATCGGATCAGAAGACACCTCTTTTTGTCTGCTTGTAATAACTCCATGTCCTCAATGAGGCAAAGTCACTGTTCGCTGATAAAATTATACACCATATAGCCTATTTACTCCTATCATAATAGTAAGTCAATAGGTTAGACAAAGTAAAACTTGAAAATGAAAATGACCTTCAATCAGTTAACTAGGGCATGAAGCAACTTGTAAATTTGAATGTGTCCAAAATGAAACATTCATTTTTTTTTTTTTTTTTTTTTTAAAATCATCATAGAGAACCATTTTTGCCTTCTATCAGCATGGCTGATGCTAACCTCCAGAGGAGCAACTCATTGCACCATCTTGGTCTCACATTTTCCACTGACATGGAGTGATTATATTGAATCAATTGCTAGATCTGCTGCTAGGAAAGTTGGTTTGCTGTAATGTCAGAAAAGTTTTCTAACCAGAATCTATCTTACACATTTATAAGTCTACCATTCATCCCTGCATTGAGTATTACTGTCATACCCAGTTTGCTGTTCCTGCTGTATATCTTGGAAATCTTGACAAAATCCAAAGAAGGGTTTATAAGATTATTAGTCCTGACCTGGCATCTTGACTTCAGTCACTTTCCCATTGGCATGACATGGCTTCCCTCTGTCTTTTCTATAAATATTTCCATGGCAATTGTTCTAATTGTTCTCTCCTTAGTACACTGACTACATGAATTTAAGCATGCTACTAGATTGACAACTAGGTCTCCAACACCCTGTATGTGTATGTATTCCAATTTTTTTTTTCTTTTTCAGAGATTGGCACAAGTACCACTGTTGTATATTGATTTGTTGTTGATGTGTTTTACTGTTCTATTTTATGTTTTATGTATTTTTTTTTAACTTCCTCTTATTGTCATGAAAAAAATTAATTGGGGAGTTGGGAGGAAGAGTACCTTATAGGTAAGTCTCCACTCTCATTTTTGTGTATATATATATATATTTTAATCTGATATTAAATAAAAGATGGTTATTTGAAATTCATTCCCAAAATACTCGAAAAAGCATTGATAATATTACATTAACTTCCTAAATAAATTTAACATTTTTACCCCAAGAATTTTATAACAATAGCAAAGTTTAATTAATCCTCTACAAGGAATGTATTCCTGCTCACTGAGAGTCCCAATTAAAAACTTAAACAGCATAATTGTAATATGGAGTTAAAAAAGTGTAAAGAACTAAATACTCACTAAGAAGCTGGTCATTGAGAGTGGCTGCTTGTCCATCATCATTACTGGACAGTCCAGCAGTTATGGCATGAAGATGTTTCTGTGCAATAGTGTAGTTCTCAGCATCTTGTTCACTTTGCTTTTGTAGCTGTTCAGTTGCAGCTAACATCTTTGTTAAATCCTTTTCTCGTGATACAATTGACTTGCTATTCTGTAGAGAAAATACAAAATACAACAGGAAAACAATATAAGAATAGCAAAATCTATTTTACAGGTCCATATGAACAGAAAGTCTAAAAGAAAAATCTTGCATTGATATGGAGGGGGAAAGCCTCCTATCTCTACTTGATCTGCTGTTAATCAAAGTAGATTATTCAATATGATTATTGCAGTTTAAGATGTAGTAAACAAAAGATTATTGGGTATCATATTTGATTTTTATGTTCAATAACTGAATCAGTAACATTTATTAGAAGCAAATTACCTAAAACAAGTGATTTAATCTGGAAACAAAGACTTACAATTCACAATAGTCCTAAGACATGAATATTTAGTCAAATATGCACTTTTGATAAATTAGAAACTAATCCTAAAGAGAAAGTAACAGATCTAATGACTTGCTCTATTATTTCACTGCTAAGTTAAGACAAAAAAATTTAAATACATTAAAAATAACAATTCAAATTCACTGCATCATGAAATATGCTGTAAATTTTTTTACTATCATTTCTTTTTGTTCAGACCATTTGCTTACATCTAAAATTCATGCTGACTTTACATTAGAAAATCCATGTTTCAAAAATTGAATGCGGCATTATGTACATAAGAATTATCTGCTTAAATATTTTTTAAAAACATTAATTCTGAAGTCTTTAGCAGTTTAACTGCACAATCACTTACATCATCTTTCTGCTTGAGCAAAGATTTCTTCTTATTTTCTTCAGCTTTTAAGCTTTCTTTTTTGCTGTCTCGTGCACTCTGTACTTTGGCATTAATCATCTGGGCCTCACTCAATGCCTTTTGAACTTTATCCATTTGCTGACCACTTTCCTGTATAAAAAGAATAAAAATAATATTTTCTTTAGGCAAACAATGAAAATTACAAATCCTTAATTAAACAAAATAATTATTTTAAAGGCAAAATAAAAAAAAATATCAAAAATTTTTTTTTTGCTTAATTTAAATAATGTAAGACTTGAATTAATGATACATAGCTAATATGAAATGGAATTTCTAAATAGCACTGCTAAATAAAAATACATTCAAAGGGAAAAAAAAAATATTTATATAAACCTGATCTTTCTTCTTTTCCAATTCTTCAATAACATTGCTGACTCTCTTAATTTCCTCTTCAACCTAGAAAATATAAGTAAATAAAAAAAATTAATACATACATATGTAAAGATCTATTACACAGATGAATGAATTTGCCAACAATTTAGCAATAAAAACACAAACAATACTAGTGTAACAAAAGAGGTTTAGTATGGAGTGAGATGTCACCTATCTAATTTCTTGAATAAGTTTTTCCCTTTTTTATTAATGATGATGTGATCATAGATAAATAAATAATAATTAACAAGACCAAAATTTCACCAGCTCTTAAAAAAAATAAAATAAAAAATAATATATAGTTGGATAATAAAAACAGTCAAGCAAATGAAGCCATAGTTCAACCAACCAATCAGAAAGCTTTCAGAAGCTGGACAGAGGCCATGAGCCAATGAGAAACAAGCAGCCTTTTCAAAGGTGGATCTATAGATATGTATATAAACAGATGGAAAATCTACAAAAATCAGTGTTTATAAACCAATTTTGTCCATTCTCCAATACTGCCATCTTCATAATATACCCAGAGATGAAACATGATATTTGCATGACTAGCTGGTGACCTTAGACAGCTAGCCTGCCCTTGCTACATTGAAAACAAACATACATCCCATCACCCTATCGTCAAGTGGCAGCTACTACATTCAGATACATACATACATACATACTTCTTCCCAGATTTTCTTATATGCCAGGACTTTTACACTTGAAACTTCAACTTTCACTTCTGTATTATTATATTATGATAAAGATTTTGTATTTTTCAATAATTTGTGCATTATCTTTTAATCATTACACAAGGCCAATATACATCCAAACCAATTATACTGATATAAGGTGGGTACAGCGTTGTCATAAGACAAACAACTTAACCATAATTGATAACCTCCCTATCTACCATAAAGACATTTATAGATGCATAAAGCATTTAACTACAATTTGTGATAAAAAAAAAAAAAAAATTTATACATACACACACATATATATATATATATATATATATATATATATATATATATATATATAAAAATTAAAGAATTTTGTTGTATGCATTATTACTGGATGGGCAGTTAGATTCAGAAAAGGATTGGATTCAAAAAAATTCACCACATAAAAGCTGTAATTCAAATCAAAGATTAAGAAAAAGTAGAAATAATAAGCACCTTTACTTTATTTCTTGTAAAACATGAAATAAAGGGAAAAAAAAAAATTCTACCAAAATATGTAAACAGTTATAAATAGATATTTATTATATGAGACAACTTGTGCATATATAATATACCCAATGAGTGGGCTGCAAAACTGCCAAATCTAAACAAGAAAGAAAAGGGAAAAAAAAAAATCATTGCCAAATATAAAATTCAGTATTAATTATAAGAATTATAACAAGTTTAAGCCATTAATTTCCACCATCAAAAAAAATTGGATGGTGGACATTAGTCCACCATCCAATTTTTTTGATGCAATAGATACAAAAAAGCTTTGTACAACTTACCCATTTTTCCTGTTTTTTTTTTTTTTTTATAGGTCTACTGCTAAGTAGTTTATATATAGAACAAGGAAACAGGCAACAGTTGGTAGGCCAATTTATTTTTTAAATAACCAACTGAAAGGATAATTGAAGAAGTTCCTGCATCTTAGTAATTACCTACATAAAAAATACAGGTGTATTTTATAGCAGAGTTACTTTGTAATAAGCCAAAATTAAAATACAAACTTACTGAAGATATGTTTTCATTCAATTTTTCAATGGCTTCAGCAATTTCAACCACTTCATCTGCTGATTTTTTCTTTCTTTCCTAGAAAATTAAAAAATATCATTTAGGAAAACTTTTTATTTTAGACAATAATGTAATTACAATTTTCTGTAAATTGCCACAATAGTCAAAAAGGTGCTGTGAGCCTTTTAAAGAAATAAATAATTATTAAATTAATTTTGCATTCTGTCATTCTCTTTATGAGTTCCCAATAATACAATGAGCTGTCTTAAAAATAAATCAAATCTAAAATACCAATCACTTGAAGCAGATACATATCAACATTTAAAAAATAACACATTAACATCAAGGCTCAGTAAACTGACTGTTGGAAAATTCTGTTCCTTAAACTTTTTTTAAATAACAATAATGAAAAATATATTTATATATATTGGCTCAGAGAGCTATCATTTATTCTATTAGGGTTTTCCAAGGAGCTCTTCTAATGTTAAGAATAGTTACTTGCACTCTTCATCTCCTTTACATTTCATTAAATGTTATTTTCAGTACTGCATTTTTGTATATTTCATTAAATAGGTACTGCCACATACTTAGATGGAAAAAGCTAGGTGACAAAAAGATTAATAAAAAGCAAAAAAAAAAAAAAAATTGTAGCAAAGTTAATGTTATCACTATAATCTTTATGTCATTAGTAAAATTGGAGAAAATTATAATATATAAATTGTGTTCACCATAGAGAATCAGATATTCAAATTTAAAAGGTTGTTTACAATGTCTAAAAACATATGCATAATAATTTGCATGAGACAATTCTAGACAAAAAATATGCCTAAGTTGTAGAAATCTCCAAAATCTGCTAATCATTTGATTTCAATGAAATTTTCAGTACTTATTTAAATTTATTTAAGAAAAAGATATTCTGTAAGAAAAGTTTGTGGAAATTATTTTGAACCAATCAAATCTCCTTTATTTAAATTTTTTAAACATAAAAAATATTTGAAACTTCAAACAGAAATGTAAAAATATGCCTTAAATCTTGAAAAAAAAAAAAAAAAAAAAAATTTAAATTTAAAATTTTTTAAAATTATTTCTTTGTTATTTTCCTTTGATGTTATTAAATACTTTAATAAACTTTAATAAAATCCATTGAAGTGTAAATTTTTAATAGTATAATAAAGGAAAATGATTATTTTACTGCAAACTCTTATTAAATACACATGACATGCACAAGCAATAAAGAGCTGAGTAAATTTCAAATATACTTCTAAGATTTCTCTAACATTGTGCAAAAGATGACAGAAAACTTCTGCTATTATATAATTTTATATATACCAAAAGTCAAAAGACAGTTGCTAAGTATCCTGTAAGATACCTTTAGCCAAGTGATCAGCTCAACAAATGGTTGGCAGGCTGATAGAGAAATGTTGAGATATGCCCCCAGTTTATGTACTTACCAAATAATACAAAAATACTATACCACATAAACTGTTAAAAAAAAAAAAAAGACTACAAATCTTAAAACGATAACCATACAATAAACAAACACAAAAGAATTAATTCAATTTAAGAATAAACATTAAATATCTCTCACACACACACAGCCCTCCTCCAAAAAGCACACCTATAGACACAAATCTATCAAAATTTGCACAAAATTCTTTGATAATGACTTATGAAAACTGAAATCACTCAGAAGACATGAAAGAATTTGAATATAACCTCAGCACGCATAAACTGGTAGGCAATGTACAGTTTGGTTAAATGCTCAAGTTCCCGGGTAATTTTCTGATATTCCAGGTAAGATGATCGCTCCTCTCGTAACTTAGTCAATGTAGGGTTGATGTCCTCACGTAAAACCTACAAAAGAAAGGACACATATACATACTTTATACAATGAATTAACAAGCATTTAGGGAATAATTTAAACATTTTTTATGTAAATTTGAACAATCACATATAGAAATATATCTAAGAGGATTGTATATTATTAAAAAAAGTAATATGCTTTATCAACTTTTCAAGACCTTATCTGCAATCAGGCCTAATACATATTATACTGAGCTAGCCAATTCACCATATTTTTGCAACCATTCTAAAGAATGGTTCCTATTTCTTTTTACATGTACAATGTAAATCCAATAGTAAGCTACTTAATTGCTGTTTATTTGCATGGTCAACTTGGGTATGCAGTGATGAGAATAAAAAAATAAAATATTACAAAATAATTGTAGCTTAATATTTTTTTATGTCACTTGATAAAACTCCAAAATCTATGTGCCCTATCTCAGTGTACATGTAAAGATGAAAGAAAAAAAAAAAAAAAAAAAAAAAAAAAACTTGGATTTAACCTGTAACCAAATTAAACAAGCTTGCATTTCAGCATAATTAGCATTCTTAAAAATAAAAGTTGATTTTTTTTTCAATTTGTTTTAAACTTATTAATAAAAAGTCATGATCAGAAGACATAATCTAATCAAAGTTGCATAATACAATAACAAATGTTTATTTCACATGCTGATCTGATCAAACAACTTAAAAAAAAAATAAATCAATAAAAACAAATAAAAAATACCTTTACAAAAAGATTATATTTTTCAAAAATAAATCTTTAACAATCACATACATGTCTTTAAAACTTACCGTTTCAATTTCAGCAAGTTTGGCATCTTTTTTCTCAATTGTACGTTGGGCAGATTCTTTTTTGGTTTCATAAAGCCGGGTTCCTGCAGCTTCTTCAATCATTGAGAGAATCTATGATAAAACAAAACCATATGAAAGGAGGGGGGAAAAAAAGTGACACTTAATCAATGACTAACTTCCAAGGTTGATTAAGTTGTTGAATAATTTTCATTCAGTCCTAACATCCATTCAACATTATAGTTCAAATTTACATGCAACATTCTATCTGTGCCAGTTTATTCATTATAAATTATGTTGCATGAAATCATCAGTACACTAAACCTTCCAAATGACCATTATATGATGAAATAAATTTAAAAGATTAACCTAGAATGTTCAAAGAGTAAGAAGCACTGAATTAAAAAGAAAAAAAAAAAAAAATTTTAAGTCACCTCTGGAGGTTTCATATTGAGCACTTTGGTGATCCGCCCCTGCATGATGAGAAAATGTGGATTGTTTACATTCAGCTGCACAGACTGAAACAAGTCTTGGACACGTTTGTGCTGGGCTGTGATTCCATTGATCATGTATTTATTACGCCCTCCAATAACAACCTGAAAAATATTTTTAATTGCAAGAAATTTGTCTGGTTGGATAATCATTAATGATATCAAAATTTACATTAAGGTTGCACTGATTAATTACTTCCAATAAAGATTGACAAAAATAATGAAAAAAACTATCAAAACATTATTTAAATTTATTTATTGTCTAAGATAATTGAGTATTCTTAAACCAGGGATTAAATTTTCATGGTTTATTAACATGGTATTAGACATCACTTTCTGATTCACAAATACATTTGACCAGACATCACGGCTGAATGTGAGGGATAAGAAAGCAAAGCACAAAATAAAACAAAGATATAAAAATTGCACTTGCTGTCAATGACGAGCAGTTCAGTTACAACATTCATCCTAATCACATGACTTTCAGATCAAACACAGACCTCTACCCTCTCACCAACCATGACCTTGGCCAACCCCTGCACCTACTCACTCTCCTTACCAACAGCAACTAAAGAACCACATATGAACAATTTTTTGCCACCTTTCATACAACTATGTACATATTCTGAATTTTGACCAATACACATTGTTGAAATCATAATCCTTTTTTGTTCATTTCCTTTGCAACTAAATGTTGTAAAACATCTACTTCTCATAATCCCATTGTACCCTACATACACAACCCTGCTTAAAAGTAATGTCACTTCGTCTGAAGATCACAGTAAAACATGAAACTGACAGTCAATGCAATGCTGAATCCTACGTCCACACTATGTGTGTCATAAACTATAATTACCTAGAAGTATTCACTGCTATTTCTCCCCCTCATATAAAATTTCTACTTTCTTGTGCAGGCCATGAAAGTCTTGTCCAAGCTTCACATAAATTATCCATTAAGGATAAATTAATTTTTTTTTTTTTAAGTTTGTGTACCCACTGCAAGATTCTCTACATTTTCCTACAGTTTTTAATAACAAGTCAGAAAAGGCCATGCTGACAGTAAGTCTAACATCCAAACCCATAGATTGAGCTATCTTGGTGTCAATAAAGCTGACTACTTCCCAAATCTATTAGCGCTGTAAGTTTTTTTGTTCACAAGGCATTTTACCATGGCTTTTGAAACTCCCTGGAACACAGTAGTTGCCGTGACTATGACAAGTAATGCAGCAGAAAACTTATTAGCTTTCAAATGGCAGACTTTAGCAAAATTATCTTCCTTCTTGCAATTGTAGCAACTTGTTCCTTGAACCAGACACTTACTTCTAGTGTACCTAGTGCCTCCGCAAACAAAGCATCTTTCTTTTAAAAAGAATTTGCAGATGTCCGAGAGTCCTCCACCATTTGATTTTCCTCTTACTGAGAAGTTAAGGTGTTATTCCAGGGTTCTGTTACCAATGCCACTTGATAACTTGTTTAGGTATCAACAGAATAGGCTTCAGAATTTCAGATAGCCCTTTCCACACTTCACACTTGATTTTCAGCTTCTGTGAAAGTGAGCATTTTGTTTTCAAGAAGTCTCTGCTGATAACTCAGAAATAAGGGAATCTCTAAAGGTTTCCTCTTTGTAAACTTGAGCAGTTAACATCTTTGAATTTACAGTCCTTCACCAAAACATGCAATGCTTGAAGACATTGGTCCAAGGTTTTTCCAGACTGTTGACTTCTGGTTGCAAATACATGCTTTGCATCTATCTCATTGGGGGGGGGGGGGCTCTCTTTAGAATGTTAATAGCTTCTTCAAAGTTTGTACATTCACTGGACAGTTCATGTACATCAGATGGCACTTAATTTATAAGAATATCCAACTCCTCACCATCAACATGCTTGAGGAAGTTTAAAAATGTTCAGCACCAATGATTTCATATTTTCTCTGCCCCAGGGTCTTATTATCTACATTCAGAATTTTAGGTTTTTGTACTCTGTCCATTTTGATATCCAAAACTAAACAAAATTAGTAGTGAATAGAATGACGTAAACTATAATTAGCTAAAAGTATTCACTACTATTTCTCTAGTAGTTTAGTCAACATCAGGACAAGTTTAGTCTCCAGCTGTATCAACTGCTATTTATATGGTGGAAATTTGCATATGACTTCAACAGTGTATGTACATATGCGTGCAAGTGTATATAAGGTTCTATTTTGTCAGTAATATTTGCTTTAATTATTGGCTTCTGCCAATCCTGTTTCTCATTTTCAATACATAAAGAGTAAGTGCAAGAACTTGCTTAAACAAATTTTGTAGAAAAAATTGCAAATTTAATGTTACTCATCAAATTTTAGGAGACACAGAAAAACTGTACAAATCACTGGTAGTCTCCATTCTCTTACATGGATGTGAAACATGGACACTGTTGGTAGAAACAGAGAGAAGGATCCAAGTGTTTGAGAAGATGTGCATGAGAAAACTCCTTGGCATCTTCTACTGGGAACATAAAACCAATGAGTTTGTGCAGAAAACGGTTGAAAGTTTTGTGGGCCACCAGGAAAATCTTCTTGCCAATGTCAAACAGTGAAAAATGGCACAGTTTGGACAGCCTGTGCAAGACCATCATGCAAGACACCATTGATGGTGGATGTAAAAGAGGACACCAACATAAGAACTGGTTGGGCAATGTCAAACACTAAACAGGTATGACTATACCAGAATTGCTGATGGCTGCCGTTGATAGACCATTATGGAGGAGATTTTGTGTGGCTTCTGCATTCAGATCCCCCCAATGATTACAAAAGTCAAGGAGATGATGATGATGATGAGGAGGACAACAACAGAAAACAGAAAATAATATCAGTGTGCACCATGAAATCACTAAGTAAAAAAAAAATAAAATAAAATAAAAAATGATTATTATAAAACATGCAAGTCTCTATGCAAACCAATCACCAAGTCATTCCATCATTTTTGAGAAGCAAATATTATCAAATTTATAATAAATCAGAAAAGTGGTAATAAGAATTAACCTCACAGTAAAGGAGATTATGGTCATGGTTAGGATGATTTTTTATCTAATGCACAAGCACACAATAAAAACTGCCAGACCAGCTTGGTAACAGAGTTATATAATTAAACATGTTCATATCTTATTTTAATAAATGATCACATTTTATGTCATAAAACAGATTCTAGCCCAAACTTATGTATTGTCATACATCTTTTACTTTTTTTTTTCTGCAACATATTCTCCATATCAAGACTGTGTTATTTTATTATTTTTTCCTCTTTCTGCTAGCATTTATTAGTACAGAAAGATAACGATTCAGCTTAAACAAGGAAACTGAAGTATCAATAAAATCAGTAGGCAAAGTTAAAACTTTGCTTAATATACCAGATTCAAATGTAGTTAGCATTAAGCTAAAACTGTAAATATTGCTTCATTCTCACACTATCACTTAAATTTGCTGCATTACTATACACACTCATGCAATTTAAGGTCTTGGCAGCTTTCAAAGAATTTAAAGCTCTCAGTTGAACTAGACTGTCTGAACAAGTCAATAAAAGTGTGCCAGAAACCTTTCTTTAGTCCCAAAAGAGGATTAACCAGTACCACTTTGACTAGCATTACAAACAAAAATTGTTTTCCCAAGTGATCATTAATGATGAAACCAAGTCTAAGTTGGTCAATGGTGATCTTGAAAGATGTTTTAGATCTGGTGAAAAATATCTGAATTGTTTGTCTTCAACTTTAATTCTTTTTATTTTTTAAATAATTTCACCAAGCAAGACAACCAAACCACTAAAGTGCAAGGAATTACTGAGTGTGGAAGAATATAAGAAAAACAAAAAGAAAACATTGAAGATAACAATTGACATTGCATTTAAATTTTTGAAGATCAAAGTTTGCTTGAGAGCAAGAAGCCAGAAGAGAGTTCTACAAAGAAGAAATGCAAGAGAATAAACTGTTAGCATAGAACTTAGTTACATCTACCCATTTTAACTGTAAAATGATGAGACCTTGTCACCAATCTAGTACCACGCTTAAGTTCATAACGTCTAGGTACCAAAGAGGAAAGCTCATCAGAACAATAACCATGAAAATATATACAGAAAAGGCACACAGAAGATGTTATTGTGGTAGGAAAGTGACTGAAGTCAAGATGCCAGATTAGGACTGAAAACTTGCAGATTCTTCTTTGGATTTTATCAAGAATCTCTAAATACCTAGAAACACCAGAACAGACGTGACAGCAATATTCAATGCATGGACGAATGGTAGAATGATAAATGTACAAGAGAGATTCTAGTGAGAAAAGTTGTCTGGCGCAACACAACTTTCTTAGCAGCAGACTTAGCATTTGATCCAATATAATCTTTCCACTTCATGTCAGTGGAAAATGTTAGTCCAAAAATGTCATAATGAGACACTCTCATGGAGGTTAGCATCAGCTATGCTGATGGAAAGCAAAAAAAGTTCCCTCAGACAATTAAAAAAAGGGCAGTTTTGTTTTGGAGATGCTAAAATTGACAAGCCATTTCTTGCCTCAATTAACAACAGATTGCAGGTCATTTTTAAAACCAGTAAAGATTCTCTACCTACTGATTTTTTTGCAGAAACTGAGGGATTTAACAACTGAATATTTCTTAAAGATGCTCATATCAAATATTAATCTATTGTTTCTTGTGCTTATCTATTGTGTGAATTTATTTGCAACTTATGAGCAAAATCTTACTTATTGTAAAAACATAGATTGTATCATATCGAGTTATACCTATTATAAAACCGTTGTTGTTTGTTTGTTTGTGTGTGTGTGTGTGTGTGTGTGTTCGTTTATATATGGGATCGTATTTCCTATATTTTCAACAGATTTCAACAAAACTTCACTTTTTTTTGGCAGGTAGTGTTTCTTATTGTCTTGCACTTCTTTTTTTTTCTTTTATTTTTACATTCAGAAGGCTTTAAAAATTCCATTTACAAGACAATTGTTTATAATAAAATTCTATTCAATTGGTAGACTCATGATTGAAAACAATGTTTTTGTTCGAGTTTGGGTTTGACCAATTCATAAAAAAACAACAAAAAAACTAATTAAGACATGCGCATCCGTCAACCTTAAACAATAATCTTTGTCAATTTTATTTTTCAGTCTTTATGATGGTCGATACTTGATCTATCTCTTACTGTTACATCCCTGGGCAACGCCGGGCTCTACTGTTAGTAATAAATAAAATCTGTGTGTGTGTACATGCAAATATATATTGGAGAAAAAAAAAAAAGAGATTAACAAAGAATGCCAATGTCCATTACCAGAATTTTAAACAATTTGCTGCAGCAAAAGTTTGTCATTTGTAGTTTAGTCATAAAATATTAATGATAGAAGATTCCCCATTATCTATAGTTAATAAAATTTTTGTAAATTCTTTATTTCTATTTACAAAATACTTTAGTTTTTCAATGGGTTTCATTTCTTACTAAATAAAATTTTTTTTTTAACAAAAATCAGCTTATTGTGATTTTGTCTCTATTTTAATTTAAAAACTAATATTTATTATAATTTTACTACTTGCACTGCACTGAAATTGCTATATAAAGTCAGCCACAAGGAACAGAAATTTAATATTAATCATTGTAAAAACCTCTGATTACTAATACAGCATTCATAAATATTCCAGGTGAGCAAATTCTACAAAAATTTATAACACAAAACAAACTTACCTGTCTGGTGACAGTAATGTCATCATACTGCTCATAACCAAGAGGTCCATTTTTTTTATCCGAGTTGTCAAAGACAATGCTAACTGTTGCTTTGGTGACACCGGCTTGGCCACTTTTGTATACCAAATCTTGTAAATTAGTTGCCCGCACCTATATAGATATAGATTTAAAAAAAAAAAAAATTTAATGAGCTAAGCTAACTTTAGTACACAGGAATCACATTCCTAGAGCATTTGTCAAAAATTGAACTCACTAATCAATTACTGTATTTGCATGTGCTATGAATTTTTTTTTTTTAACTTAGTTAGTAAGGCTGTAATTCCATAAAAAACAATGGCTCAAGCTAAATCCAAAAATAGCATTGATAACCAAAATCACAAAGGGATCACTTGACTGTTTTCTCACTGATATATATGCATGTGTGTAGGATGTATAATACTACCTGGAAGAGAGGGAAAAAAAGTGGAGATAACAAAACAATGTGTAAAAGATTTTAAACAGTATGTTTCACTAACATGATGACCATTAGGTTCAGCAGCTTCAGGCTAGAATGAATGACAATGCTGCATATATATATACACACACACACCTTATAAATTCAATCTTTGGCAAAAAATGATATTTTCCAAAAAGAATGGCTGTATTAATAGAGTGCTCAATGCAATTTTCACAAAACTAAAATGTAGTGCAATCTAAGATATAAAATATTTACAACACCTACTTTTATGCTACCATGATTTCTGTCAGAATGGTTTCATAGAAACCCTGATAGCATAAAGGTTGTGTTTCAAATATTATCATATACATACATATACATAATTACTTACACAATAATCAGTTAAAACAAATAAAAAGACAAGGAATAGATTAAAGGCAGTGCATACAGCTTAATTATATATATATTTTGATACAGGAAAAATTTGGCATTCATTAACCTCACCTTGAAATTTATAAAATCTTAAAATAGTTTTTTTTTAGTAATTTAGACTTCTCAAGTTCATGGTTATCAATTTTTCTACTACTGATTGGAGTTTCCTTTTAAACATTTTGTTTCTGGTAGTGTGGAAAGTTAACATTTCATTTTCTCCTCTATTTACATGCATATTTTTGTTATTGTTTCCATTAAAAGTTCTCAAACTTTTGTTATTTAGTATAACTCTGTGATTTTTCAGTGCCAGTCTACATGGTCAGACAAAGGATAGTCATCTTTTAGGCATCTGTATTCAGAGAACACAAAATGATCACTGATTACTTATTTTAGTGCATCATTTTACTTACAATTATGGCCACATGATGTAAACAAGTAAATTCATCATTTAAACAAATTAGCTTTAAATAATGAACAGTACCTTTTTATATCCATCTGTGACAGATACAAGTGCTTTTTTTCTGGCCAATTATTCAGTGAAAATCAGTGAAAAACACATTGATTTAGAAATTCTTGCAAAAATCAGATAATTGTCATATTTCAATGAAACTTTCAGGCCTATTCACAATACTATATACTATTCAGCAATACTATAAAGCCAAAGTACCTAAAATTAAATTAAATATTAGAATACTTAAAAAAAAAAAATAAAATAAAATAAAATTATGGTACCTCCAAAAAATTTTCTAAAAACGGAGCACAGCAGGATGACAAAGGCTCCAAATGTCAAAAATAATGTTTGCATTCTTATTAAGGGGAAAGAACAAACTATCTTTTTATTGAACTTTTTAATCCATTCTAGCACATGCGAAATTTTGGTTAAAAATCTTATTTTTCTTGCATCAACAGTGAGCCAAAGATTAATATGAGTAATTTAGCAGCTTTTTTTGTTGTTGCAAAAATCAAATAATTGTAGAATTTTAATGAAGTTTTCAGGACTTATTGACAAATGAATGAAATTATCTTTTAAATATTTCTTTAGAAAATCTTGGTAATGAAATTTCAAGAAATTAAAATTTCAGTGATTTTGTTTTTATATTAAAAAAAAGCAGGATTCCTTGGAAAATTTAAATCAATTTGTTTTTGTCAAACGGAAACACCATTTACTGAAAATCAGCTCTGAATCATAAAATAAAAAATGCAATAACTGTAACATTATTTAATTAGAAAAGCTTTTGTTTTTATAAATAGTGAATTTTTACAAGAATTGTTTTCATTTTTTTTTAAATTTGAATTAAAAGTTTTAAATCTTAAAATTCTGTATTAATTTCAGCAGTTTTGATTATATTATTAAGTGAAAACTATATTTATTATTTACTAATCATAAATGGAAAAGCTTAATACAACTTATCAAAACCAATATTTTTTTATTTAGAATTTTTTTATTAGAGTAAACGTACTGATAACTATAAAAAAATAATGAACAATAGTTTCTGAAACTTTTAAAATTACTGAGTACTTGAAAATTAAAAATAAAAAAAAAAAACACTCATGACATTTTATTCAATTATATGTTTTTTTTTTTACAGATAAAGTCTCCGTAGAACCACATGTATCATCGTGTCAGGTTAAAAATACATTTCTGCAGTATTTTAAACTTAAAGTAAATAATATTTGTTTTAAAGTCAAATTACTTTAAAAATCAACTAATATTCATCAAATAAAGTTTCAGAAACTGAGAAAAGTATATTTTATTTTTGGAAGATTTTAATTAATATTGAGAATTACATTGCGATTAAAAACGACTAAAAAGGGCACTAAACAGCTATTTTGCGTAAAAAATAAAAAAAACATCCTTCCAGTCAATTTTTACTAGTTTATAAAAGTAAGTGTTTTGCTTTATTGGAAATTATTAGATTGAAATTAAAATAAAAGCTTCAAGAAAGATTTTTCCTTTTTAAAAATGAATTTGAAAAACCTTTAGTATCACATTTTTTGGGAGGGTCTAAAATATTTAAGATTAAAGTAGTTAAAAAATATCTAACTAAAAAGTGTTTCCCTTTGTAAAATTTGTAAATACATTGTATTCTATTCAAATTCATCATGCAATTTTACAATTATTTCCCCCTTACATAAATCTCGGAAACATCAGGCTAGAGAGTGAGTGATAGATGTGCCAAGACCTGATGAAAAAGTTTTTAATCTAAATTAAACTTTAAATAAATCACTTAATCTTCATTAAATAAAGTGTGTATTTCATTTTTAAAATAAAGAGAATTAGATTATGTTGACAAATTTGTCAATATGGACGATTTTATTTTTACTTATTTATAAAAATATAATTCCAATCAAATTCGGTTTGAAATACAGAAAAAAAAGAATCTTGCTTAAGTAAAACTAAAAAAGCTTCAAGAAAGGTTTGTCATTTTTAAAATTAAAATACATTCGAAACCTGAGGTAGCGCTTTTTTTCTTTTTCTCATTGACGTTTATTGCTCTATTTCGGAAGTGGAAGCTTTTTTTTTGCCTAAAATTAAATTGGCATAAATAAAAAAAGTCGCCCTCCCCTTACAAATCAAAAATATCGAACCAATATTGTATTCTTGCTTAATGAACAATGTTTTGCTTCTTTTCGAAATTAATTACTGTAGTGTAATGTGACAGTTGAGTTAAAAAAAAAAAAAAAAAAAAAAAAAAAAAGGGCTTAATCTACTTTGCTGGTGCTAGCAACAATTGTAAATAAATACACACAGCAATAATAAACAAGCAATGCTAAAATTTGTAAAATACATTTAAAATCGGTGAGAATTTTGTTTCAACACACAAGCACAAGGCTTAAAAAATGTCACATCAGTACTGGTATGTGCACATGAGCAACAGTTGGAGTTGATCAATCAAAATAGAATAAGTAAAAATTAAAACGTTTTACCGCTAATTTTCAACAGTCGAGTTTTTTAGTCTCTGATTTAAATTTTAAATGATAGATTCAACGGATTGAAAATTGTCTTAAATCGGGACAAAGCATTTTACTATTTCAAACAAATAATTTTTAGCTGTTCATTTTCCTTCATTAAATTAAATTTATTCATAGTTTTTTTTTTTTTTGAATGACAACACGTTCCTATTGAATGCAATCGATCGACACTTAATCCCCCCCAAAGTGACCTTAAAAGTTTCCTCTTATAATTACAAATCTATCAATAATTGTTAATATTTTTAATAAAAAATTATATCGTAAATAGAACTGAGGAAAGCCGTTAGACTTAAATTTTTAAAATTTAAAATAAATCAATCTAACGAAAAACTTTTAAACAAGATTGTTTTTTAAATGTACAAAACTGAAAATCGCTTTAAAGTCTTTTATAAAAAAGAAAAGCATAAAAAAATATTTGAAATAATGGTGGAAAAAAAGTAGGATAAAACATTTGAAATAAAATTTTAAAAAAAACGATCTGACCAACCTGGGAAAGATTTGAAATACCCAGCAAAAAACATATTGAATCCAAAATGTTTGATTTACCACTACCATTCAAACCTGTAATGGCATTAAACAATGGATCGAAGCCATTAATCTCTGTCCTCTGTGCGTATGATTTAAATCCATCAATAACAATTGATTTGATGTACATATTTAAACTGTAAACAAAAACAGACAAGGAAACTGAAGACAGAATTTCGAATCCGTTTGCCTCGTAAATGGCGCCGAATTATAAATTTCCGTTGGGACATGCGCATTAAACAGAATTAGTTACACGACTTCCTGTATAGTCGACACATGAGGCGTGTGATTTACGAAGGAAATTTGAAGTGATGTGTGATCACGATGATTTTACAAATGGTGACAGGTAAATAACATCTACTTTATGGAATTATGAACTATTTTGCCATACTGTTTCAATGTATGTACTAATAAATCCGTGACTCAATAATACAAGATTTCTTGAATTACAGTCAATGAAATAAAACATTTATTTCGAAATAAAAATGAACTTTTCTTCAGAAACAAAACAAGTGAATGTCAAATTCGAACCAAGTAAAGCAATCTGCGTAAAAAAAAAGCATTTTCAGCATACAAAAGTTTGTTATTCAGTTGACAGAATTTTAGTCCAGATTAAAATTGTTTTTTTTTTATGAAGTTTTAAGCAATTATTGATATCGCAAAAAAGTATTGTTTATATTGGCGTTGAGACAGATTTTTTTTTTTTTTTTTAGTGCAGGTGTATCTTTGACTCCAATAGCATTTAGCAGTACTTCCAGTGGTGATAACCATATACAGCTAACTGTTGAACCTACTATCTCTGATCCAGGCGAATTGATCAAAAAGTACAAATTGGAAAAATGTTGTCAATGGATCAATGACAATAACTTCCAAAGGGTAAGATTAAATTTTTAACAAAAAGTGTAAATTGTAAAGAAAAGTGATCACATTTTTTTGTTCCCTTCTTTTTAATCGAATTTCATTTGTTTCTTATTTACTTGTAAATAAGTACAACCACAGATTTTGAATCCTTAGCGAGACCAACTGAAATGCTAGTCTTATACTCTGCTATTTAATTTATATCACGTTCTGTTTGAATTGACATGTCTATAAATAAATACAAATAGACAACCAATTGAATACTTGTACCCAGGCCAACTTCTATATGATCTTTTAAAAATGTAAATGGGGGAAGGGTTGTTAATTTACATCAAATATGGTGTAGTAAACTTTTTGCTTGCACATCTAAATTACCGTTAAGACAAGCAGAAAAAAAGAGGAATACTTTTTCAAGGGGGTTTTTGAACATTATAAGAAAATGCTATTGGAATTGATTGACCGTCCTTGCATAAAAATGGCATTTTTATTCTGCTGAATCAGGTAACCCTTTGTTTCAGATTTTTATAAAAACAATTTGAATTATGCCACCAAATAATTTGGTGACTAAAAATTTGTTACTAAGTAACTATGTAGCAAGAAAAAAGGGTCTCTAGATAAATATTATGTACAACTAGTTTTCAGAACATTACTATTGTTTATAAACGTACATTTATTTCTGGTAAAGATCGAGTTATTAATTAACACATAGTTATATCCCCCTTTTTAAAAAATATTTGAAACAAATATTAAACCAGTGAAAAAGCATCTTTTTTTTTCTTTTTTTTTTTTAAATATAGAGTGGGTGGTTTTATGAGCTGTTGACAGATCTATCTACAGCCTGATGTTTGGGAAATTTAAGAGATGATTTCATAATTGTAAAATTATTTGACAAATAAAACATGGACGCCTTTAGTTTTTTTTTTATATAATTGTTTTTTCACAATCCAGTAATCTTAAAAATTTAAGAGGATATTTTATTTTTAAACAATCTATTTTACTATAGCCTTACTTATGAAGATGCTTGTTGAGGAAATATTAGAAAATGACTAACAAATTTTAACTTACTTGTATGTACCTCTTATTTTCTGATGATATCGTATACTATAGACATCCATATTTATAAAATTCAACATGTTTATTCACATGAAAATCTCAAATTCTTTTAACATGCTAGGGCAGGGTCATTGAATTGTAGTGAGCTTTTACATTTATAATTAGTAAATACAGTTTTATATCACTTGGTCAGTAAAAATTAATACAGAATCATAAAAGTTAATAAATTATTTTAATTAAAATTTAAAAAACTTGAAACAATTCTTATAAAAATTCATTAGTCATCAGAAAAAAAATTCTTGAGACAATAGTGTTTGTAATATATTTTATTCAGAGAAACAAAAGCATTTCTAACTTAAAAAATATCTTGGTTTTATATTTGACAAGAATATTTTGATGAATTTAAATTCTCGGAGGATTTGTCCTTGTAACAAATATAAACATTATGCATTAAAAAAACAAATTTCTCAATTTCCTTAAAGTTAAATAAGTTGGGGCAGGTAACAGATTTAAAAAAAATTATTTTACAAAGATTTTCTAAAAAAAAAAATAAAATCCAAAAAATAATTTATTTATGAATAAGTCTTGAAAATTTCCAAATCAACATGTTTTTTCACTGCAAAAAATAAAAATAAAATGCTCAAAATTCCCATACATATTTAAGGTAACACTTTAATGCCAAACAAACAAAATTTCATAACCAAAATTTTCATGATTTTAAAAAGAAAAAAAAAAATTCACATCAAAAAATCATTTAATCTTTCCTCTTAATAATGACACAAATATTTTGAGGTTAAAATTTTATTTTTATTATATTTTATGTATTTTTTTTTTTTTTTTTTATGTATCCTTTTTTAATAAATTTTTGGAGGTACCTATATAAAACTGAATATGGAGTGCTGCACCCTGTGACACATATGTATGTATATGCACATGTGTGATTGCTGGAGTTCCCTCATCAAAGATTTTCATACCAATCATGTGGGTGTCTGTGCCAGTGGCTTTGAGGAGGTTCATGGTGATCATGGTTACAGGGTATGAAACACTGAAGGTGAGAGAGTATTGGAGTTTGCTTTGGCAAATGATCTGATCATTGGCAACACGGTTCTTGAAACTAGTCACTTTCAGTTCTGGCGATCATAAATCACAGATTGACTATATCATATATCGCAAAAGCTTCAGCAAGTTTGTCTTGGATGTCAGTTATACATGGTGAGGAGTGCACATTGCAACATCACCTGCTAGTGTGTGACTTTAAAGTTTCCATGCCAAAACTCAAGAAACACAAGTGCAAACTACGCCTTTGAACTTGGAGGCTTTATGATCCGACTATCACAAGTGAGTTCCAAACAACCTACAATGCTAAATTGGAAGCCTTGCAGACTGACATTGATACTGTACCAAATATGGAAGAGATCTGGTCTAAGTTGAAGACGCCTCTGCTGGAAGCAGCTGATGAAGTATGTGGCAAGTATGTGGAAACAGGATACCTGATGGTGGAATGGCTGAGTTGATGATGATGATGAGAAAAGGTCATTCTACAGGGCTCTCATGAGGCAGGGTTTTGTTGATAAAGTGACCAACGTGAATGCAGCTTACAGCGAGGCCAAGTGTATTGCCAAACAAGGTGTATGGCTTGCCAAGTGAGAGGCTGATAAGAAAACTTTCACTGATATATCACCTCATGGCAACAAAGTCTTCCTCCTTGCAAAGCAAATGAACAGAACCAACCAGGATGTAATTGGTGAGAAGCATGTTTGGAATGATTCTGGAGAGCTATCACTCAGCGATGACCAAAAGATGAAAGCTTGGTTTGAACATTATAGTGGGTTGCTAAATGTTGAGTTCGACTGGCTTAGTAATATGCTCCCTGAGGTTGCACCAGTTGTAGATCCTCACCCATTTCCATTTGTAACATCAGCATTGATTGGCAAAGTGGTCAAGAAGATGAAATGTGGAAAGGCAGCAGGCCCATTATAGTGTTGTTGCTGAAAGTATCTAGTGATAAAGGCATTGAAATGCTTAGGTTACTTACGGAATGAGTTTTCAGTAATGCTGTGATCCCAAGTGAGTAGGAAGAGAGCTTCATTATTAAACTCTATAAGGGCAAGGATGATGCCTTGGATACAGAGGCCCCAAGCTCACTGATCAAGGGATAAAACTGCTGGAATGTTTGCTTGACTCCTACATCAGACAAATGGTCAACATTGATAAAATGCAGTATGGTTTCGTACCAGGAAGTAGGCACCACTAATACAATTTTCAATGTGCTTCAGCTGCAGGAGAAATTCATTGCTGCTATGAAACCTCTCTTCTTCACCTGTTGTATCTTGTGTTTTTGAGATAACAGAGAGAAATAAATAAGGAAGACAAACTCATAGGTAAATAATGAAATAGGTTTACTACACAAAGGTACACTTAGCAATGACCTAAGGCTAACTCTCCTCAACTCTGCTTATTTATATAAACAAACAAATCCATTCATTTATGTCCTATATGACACCTTTGTAGATCTGGAGAAGTCATTTGATCATGTTCCAAGAAAGGTGATCTGGTGGGCCATGAGAAGCCTTGAAGTTGAGAATTGGGCTATTCGTGTGGTTCAAGGCATCTACTGCAATGTCTGGAGTCAACTTAGTCAATGGCCTATATAGCGAGGAGTTCAGTGTTGGTGTTCATTAAGGCTCAGTTTTGAGTCCACTGCTCTTCATTCTCGTGTTGGAAGCACTCTCTCAGCAGTTCCACACTAGTGTTCCATGGGAACTTCTATATGTTGATAACCTTTGGATGAATGTGTTGTCAAGCTCAAAACCTGGCAGGCATGGCAACAAGAGACAAAGTGTCAACATGAAAAAAAACAAGTTTATGATTTCTGGTGTTGATCTGGACAAATTACTGGTGTCTGCTGCAGTGGAGTGGGTATGAATTCAATCTTGTGCTCCAAATGCAACTCCTGGATGCACAAGAAATGCAGTGGCATCACCAGTAGGCTAACAGAACTACCAGATTACATCTGCCCTAGATGCTGTGGTGAAGTACACCCTAACTCACTACCCAAGTCACTTTGGATGGTTCAAAAATGAATATTGAGCCCTTTTTTGTTATCTTGGAGATACACTCTGCACAGGTGGAGGTTGCAAGCTTACCATTACAACCAGGTGCTCTGTGGCTTAGGGAAACTCAAAAAGATCTCATTCTCACATCTAAACACTTATTGTTGAGAGCTCATGGAAAATTGTTCTCTGCGTGTGTGAGATCTGCACTGGTCCATGGCAGTGAGACTTGGGCACTAAGTGCATTGGTTTTGCAGTGGCTCCACTGCAACAACCGCTCGATGATTCACTGGATCTGTGGCACGAAGCCTCAGTATGAAACCCCCTCATCAGGGTTGTTAACAAGGCCTGGAATTTAGGATATAACATTAGTACTGCACATCTGACATCTTAGATGGTTTGATCATGTCTAACGAGCTTCATCAAGCATTAGGACTGTCTTGGAGTTCAAGGTTCCTGAAGATGTAGAAGGACTGCATTGGGAGAGATGTGTGGGAGTGCAGCCTTGCCTACATTAGCCTGCTTGACAGAGATGCTTGCAAAAACTGAGTGAGAGCTAGTTGGCTGCTGCCTACTCCAGTCGCTGGGAAACCTGCAGCAGTATAATCAAAGCTCCAGATCTTGTTTGCTATATATATATATATATATATATATATATATATATATATATATATATATATATATATATATATATATATATATATCGCTGTGTGTGTGTGTGTATATATATATATATATACACACACACAGTGCAATGGATAAATTGTCTAAGTTATACAAAAATGAAAATAATGCTAACATCTCATTTAAACAGATATATTTACCAAAATTACACAAAAATATCTTGAAATACTAAACAGTAAATCTATTCAATAAAATCGTCATTGGCTCCAACCAAAGCCTACAGACAACTTCAGAATCTCCTGCAACTCTTCTGAACAGCCTCCTTGTTTAAGTTGGTGAATGCTGCTATAATCTTTGCCTTCAGTTCATCTTTAGTGTTACAAGGAGTTTTGTTGGTCTCTCACTCAACTGCACCCCACACATAATTATAATCCATGGGGTTGCAGTCTGTTGAGTTAGGTGGACAGATGTAAGAGGTGATGTGGTTGCAGAAATTGTTTGACAGCCATGGCTGTGTTCTCCTGCTTGTGTGGCATGGTGCAGAGACCTGTTGCCAAACATAGGGTCTTCCAGTAGCCACCTTCTTGTCCCAGGGCAACACTACTTCCTCAAGGCACTTGATGCAGGCCTCCGTGTTGAGTCTGAGGCCCTCACCAACAAAATCAAGAGTTCTGTTCTTATCAGAATGAGTTTTCCAAGCTGCTGTAACTTTGTAATCACCATTAAACTCATCCAACTCTTTCTGAATCACTGTCCTCAGATTGGCAGCCACTCTGAAATGTTCATATAGTAACTCCCTGTGCAAATACCAAGCAGTACAGCATGCTGTTTTCAAATTTCTGGCAAAGTGAATTGCATCATGGTACTCTTTTTCTTACAGGCTGTGCCAAACTAACCTAATTATACTGTGCAGTTGACAAAAACAAACAACGCACATGTGATAAATTAAAAATATGGAATGGCGACAATTTACCCATCGCTCTCTCTCTCTCTCTCATATATATATATATGGGAATGGGGAAAGCCACATTGGAGACACCATCACATACTGTATTCTGCTGATCCCCCCACCCCCAATTATTTCTGAAAGTCTAACAGGTTATGAGCCCAGAATACACACTAACTCAGTTAATGGAGATTAGTAATAATCAGCTAACATCTTTCAATGCAAGTTTAGCCAATATTTTTTTAACACCTGAAGCTAAAAGCAAAATGATTCTTCTTATGGTATAAGGGTAAATCAGAAAATAAAGCGAATTTCCATATAACACCATTTATCCACTTATGAAAAACAAATGCATTTGTCACTTTTCAACATAGGCCCTCTGCATGACAATGTACTTCTGGTATCATTTAACAAGCTTCCTCATTCAAAAAGAATTGCTTTGGTTGCTCACAAAGTCACATTGTATCACTTGTTTATATGCGCACCCAACATGCACAAACCTTATGGTACCCCAAGTCATCATGCACTATATCTTGTACAGATCCATAGCTGGTGCCCCAGATTGCCACCACTTGTGCTAATATGATTCATTGGTTTTCCCTGATCAATATATCCATCTTCTAGATATATGCTTCCATGCATGACTAGATCCATTTTTGTCTGTTACACTTATTCTTTATGCTTTAAAGCGTTTTACCCATTCATACACTTTTCATTGATGCATGGGTGGGGCAAGAGGTGGGGATTGCTCCAGGTGCTAAATTTTTAGGAATGCTAAAAAAATTGTTGGATAAAAAAATTTATACTAGAATTTATAACAGCTCATAGCTGAAGAAGAGGTACAATAATTTAAATTAATCCAAGTGCTCAAAATCTACCCTACACCACTGCATCGATTTATGGTGCATACTCCATACTGCATCAAAATCCAGCAATGGATTTCCGTATGTTTAACTCCCTCTACTCACAGAAACTGCAATCACCAAGTAAAGTATCCATAAGTCTGGCTTTGTTACTCTCTGTCACTTGACTGAACAATAGAATGCTGCACATGGTTAGCTACTCTCGTCCCATGTGCACACATAGTGTCTTGTGTCAGCACCTCCTTGTTGTTTTTACCACATAATTTCAAAATTGTCTTTAATTTCTGACTTCAAACTTGCAGATTTGGCCAAACACAGCTGAACTCTTGAACATGGCACTGATATGAATAGTTGTGATTATGATGGGCAAGGATATTCTTTAGCTATAAAAGCAGTATGTCTGACAGGGTAAAGGTGAGAGATTACTTCCTAAATGAGTAAAAAAATCAGTTCAATTCAGAAATAATAGTGTATTATTGTAAAAGATGGATTCTGTTCACTTAGTAAAGTAAATGCTGCAATGTATATTATTTAGCAACATGTTGTTCCTTTCCCAAGATCATCAACCTGTGTCTGGGCCCATCTTTATATGCCCCACCCCTTGTTACACTGCAAAAATATTAAGACAATTTTCCAAAGCTAAAAATCTTGAATTTATGGTATAGCCTACCCCAAATCCAGATCTCAAGCTAATTGAAAACTTTTGGAAGATCATTGGTGATAATGTGTGGCATGGAAACTAACAGCAGTAATTAATATATTGGACACTATAATATATTATACTGCTAAATTTGGTACGGAAGAGCCTTAAAGGAAGAAAATGTTTTTTTTCAACTGAGCCTTTACTATTTTAATGTTATTTTTTTTTTTTAAACCTGCAGGTACAAAAGAAATTTTTTTTTCTAAAATGTATTTATAAACCATTTTGATGGACTATCAAATTGATTCTTTTTTAAATTTTATATATAAACAGAAGTAATATGAAATTTACATTTGTCAATACTAAGGTACTTAGTATTACCAAAGGTAAATTTTACATGTTATATATATATATATATATATATATATATATAATACATATTTTTCTAATAAGAAATTGCCAACAACTTTTACTATAAATGTTGATCTTTATTAAACTGACTATTCATTCACTAATTCCTTCTTAACCTGATTGCATTTTTTCTTGTTTTTGTTTTTTTAGGCAATATGTATTTTGAGATATACAATGGATTTTCTAATATGGGGTAGTATTAGGGAGCACATCTTGACATCTGTAACAATATGCTGATAGAATTTATCTAATCCACATGTATGCTTTTCCTTACCACCTTTAAAATTTGACTATGTGCCATTATCTTTTCTATATGGAAGGATGAGTAGATACTCTCAGTACTTGTTAATTTAGCTTAATTTTATCAGAGTTTAACTAATGGCTGGTTACTCATTTCTGAGTACATCCATCTGCTATGCTAGCTAGCTAATCTCTGTTACAGACATCTGATCTTTGTGTTTACTCAACACCCACAGAGCCCACCTATGTTTTATACTGCAACTGTGCTGAGCAGATCTTAGTTACAGTTTCTGGGCATATCCACTGGCATGACCAACATTTTTAATATGGCCAATACACTTAAACCCTTGGTCACAATGACTTGTGACATCATGCTAGCACAACCACCTTTGAACAGCTTGATCTACCCAATTTCACTCACAAAGCTTGGGTCAACTTGTATGATTTTCAGGAACTTTCCAAAGGTGCTGCATGCTAGGATTGCCTTCCCAAACCAATAATGTTAATGACATTCTAATAAACTAATTCAAATATGGGTCTCATAGCTGAAAAGCAAACATTCTAACCAATAGGCCATGTGTCCATCAGGAGAATATAACTAGAATTGTTGTAAAAATTACCCAAAATATGAAATTGAAGTTCTTCATGAAATTAATTCTTTCTTTAATTACGTTTTCTTTCTTAGATATCTTTGCAATTCCCTGATGAACTACTTGTTGATGCTGCAGCCATCACATCATGGCTTGGAGAAAATGTTTCTGGTCAAGTATTTATTTTGGGTGACACATCTTATGGAAGGTAATTTAAAATGTTTCAAATAAACAAACACGTTCAATACAGCCACTGGTTAACTAGATTACGATGCATTCTTAACGCATTTTAATTTACCCTTTTTTACCTTTTGTATCCTGTTACAGATAATTCCTTAATTAAGCCAGCTTATATAAACATAAATCTTTTACAAATATTTCTTTCATTTTATTTCTGTTGCTTTTCATTGTAACTCCTAAGTTACTTTTCTGAATTAAACAATCTGGCTGGAAGCTTACTCTATTTCTGATCAATGCTGCTTATTTAACACTCTTGAAATAGCAACTTGGAAGTTTCAATAAAAAACCACAGAAATAAGTGAAATATACTAGCCAAAACTAAATCTAGAAATTCAAAGATTATAACACTTATCTCCCTACCAACAATGTATATGACACTTCCTTCATTTCCTTCAAAAAAGCATTCTCTACTGTCACAAGTAATCTTATTACTCCAAGATTCATTGGTGATTCTAATATGATGAACAAGCATCATTTTAAGTAGTGAGAATAAATAGTGCTCAAGCCCAAACGTTTGGCAAGGTTGGAAGTTACTTCTCACAGATCTTAGCAACCAGAACATTGTGAAATTTAACACATATCCTTAGTGTAAGTTCAAGTTGGTGCCTTCTGTTTTCCAAATACTTAAACACTAATTACAAACTATAATTTTGGAAAATGAGAATTTCACTGAAATATGTTGCAAAATATCCATGTTTTTTAATCTGAAATCAAGAAAATACAAACTTTAAGCAAAATGGTGACACTATATGGAAAACTGACACCAGGTTAAATCTTTTTAGCCAAGAAAAATAATCAAATAGAAGTATTCTGTATTATGAAATAACTTTATATAAATTTTGTAACTGGATAAGTGACGATTTAAATTAACACTTTTTTTCCTTAAAGTTGTAGTACTTTTGGTATTTGTAGATAAATAATTGCTACAAAGCCATATTAAGTACTACTGCCAGCTGTACAAGATGAGTTTGATTATTGAAAATCTTCAGTTTTCTTTTCATTTTGAGAATTTGTTCTTAGAACAAAAATCTAATAAGAAACTCTTATTTCTTATGAAGCAAAAAACAATAATTGCATTATTGAGAGATCCATTCATAAGGAAGCACCTTCGAAAAAGAAATTACTCTACAGACAAAATACGCATGAGACTCGTACGCGCGACGCGCCTTCTCGATTACCTGCCCTTTGTCTGACACTTTTTCACATCGCCGATCGTGCAGGCCGTAAATAGGCTGACCCCTCTACAAAGACATTCATTTGTTTACATTGTTTTCAACTCCTACTCTTTTAAAGTAATTTATTTTACATTTTCATACTTAGACCTTAAATTAAATGCAACAACCAATTATATAGCTCATTATTTTAGGTATTTTTTCCTCTTGACAAGAAATAAATTTTGTCAAAACTCGGAATTAATGAGCGTTTTTCTGTATTAAATTCAAATTAAGAAGATTTTATCAAATTTCTTTTGAAAGATTATGCTTATTTTATGAAATAAAATCGCAAAATAGCTTTAAAAGTCTAATATCCAGACAATAATTATATGTAAATGTTCATATTTTGTTAATTTCTTGATAATCATTTAAAATATCCTGAATCAACTCCTTCACCATAGACTATAGCAAAGCCCTTACAACCTAATTTCAGACTAGTATTACTACTATGGTGAGTTCTATTTTTATTTGCTACACAACACTTGTAACTTAAGCTATGTGAATTCTATCATAAAATTGCTTTTGGGATTACTTCATGAATTTTCTATTTTTATTTTTATTAAATTCAACACTTTAGTGGAATTCTTCTAAATTGAAAAACTATTAAAAGTGCCAAAAACAAAGACATAATTACAATTATGTTTCTTTTTTTTAAAGTTGTTGTGTTGATGAAGTCGCTGCACAGCACTACAATGCAGACAGTATAATTCATTTTGGTTATGCCTGTTTGAATCCAACAAAACGTCTGCCTGTATTTTTCATCTTTGATGAGCAAGCATTAGATGTGGCTGACTGCTGTGATAAATTTTACAACTGTTTCCCTGATCATGAAAGTAATGTTATTATATACTACGATGTTCGTTATTCTTATGCCATTGGTAAGTAACACATTTATTTTTCGTCTGTTTCAACAACATTTGCTTATTGGCCTAAACTAAAAATAATCACCATTTTAATCAGCAATTACAACATTGTCAGATTAATTTTATACATTTTTATTTTTAAACATTTTAAGATTTAATTAGCAAGTTAGTATCTATATTTTGCCGCAGGATCTACAGTGATCAATAACTCTCAAAATTAGTTATTTCAGTCATTTTTATTATATATTGTGGGCACTGAGAAGATCTCAGCTACTCTAAGAAGTGATTAAATGAGAAAATTAAAACAAAATTGATGTTTGATCAGATTCTGGGAAGTGGTCAGGACTGAAAACTTTTCAGTAGCACCTCTTTTATATATCTAACTTTATTTTTAACCTCCAAATTATTCTAGAAATTAAGTTTTATTTAAAAGAATGTGCCTCCTGACAGGAATCAGACCTGTATATCTTTTATAACCTTCAGGTCTGGTGTGATTTTTACCATTAAGCTACAAAAAGCTATATTACACAAAAGTACATAGATTTTCATCCTCCACCCCAATAGATATATTAATTTCAATGTTTTAAATGTGTGTGTGTGTGTGTGTATATATATATATATATATATATATATATATATATATAGTTTTAAGGTGTACTATATTTATGAGATAAAGTGCTCAATATCAGAGATAGAGCATATGTAAATATAAAAGTGAACATTGAAGTCAACACTCGGAGGTGACAGGCTATTTCATGATAGACACAATTGCCTCTGAGTGTTGACTTCAATGTTCGCTTATATATATATATTTTAAACTATCAGTAAAACTAAAATCTATAGATTATAATAACCCCCAAGTTAAATGATGTAAATTCATTTAAACGTGTGTGTAAAATAAATAAAAAAAATGGAAGTTTCTACTCAGATCTTGAACGTTCCATAAAGCACACTAGTTTAAAGTCTGTTTCAGTTCAAAATATAATTTTTATTTTTTAATTTCTTTTTAAACATTGTTAAATAAATTTAAAAGTATTTAACATTTATAAATTATTTATTTAATAATTACAATCAAAATTATGGAATATAAACACAAAATAATAAAATATATACAAATAAGAAAATAAAATTCAACATTAACATTTACTCATTTTCAATTATTAGACATTAAATTACATCACTTAGTGACCTCTATACTTTACTTAGTTAGCTTTAAGAATATTTTAGCACATTCTTAAATTTACAAATTTTGAAAACTTAATATCTTTACTTGTTTATATAAATACATGTTGCAAAACAAAATCCTTACATTTACCTTGATAAAGTCTCTCAAAACATGTTGGTTAAGAAGTTTCCATCTTTATTCATAGATTTTTTAGATATATTTTTATATCTAAATTTTTACAGTTTTAAGTTATGCAGCATTTATAGCTAAAAGTGTATGTGGGAGTGGACGTGCTGTTTCATGCATTCATCAAGCCTGAAGATCATGTTCAAGTATGAAACGGACTATTGCACTCATTTATCTCTGTGCCCACTATATATAATGAGACAGTATGGTCATAAAGATCAACTACATGGTGAATGTCAGTTTCATTTGTCAATGCAATCTCCAGAAGCATGAAGCTGACAATCACCAGGCAGTGTTGACCCAGTCTCTATTTTTTTTTTTTTTTTATATTCTATAAATATAGTAGATATTAGCAATGCAAAAACCATAATTTTCTAATGCTTTCAATTATAGTACTCTCAAATTTTTCTATGGACTTATGACAAACTTTATATACTTACATACCTGCTGGCAGCAATGACTCCTGCCTTTTTATATTTCCTTTAGTTATGATTGTTCAGATTTCATATTTATGCATACATATTCTTTTTCTAAGAAGTAAAAATATGAATAAAGCGTTCCTTTTGTAATCATTTTATCAAATTTTTCTTTAGAATTGTGATACTTATTTTCTAATAAGTTATAGGGAACAAGCAAAATTCTTACTCATTTTTTTTTTTTTCTTTCAAAGGGGAGCTCCAGACATATCTTGAAAGTTACAAAAATGTTGTAATTACTGAATTGGACATTCCTCAAAATGATAGGAAATCAGACTGTGATAGCAAAGTGCAGCATTTCTCAAAATGTAGGCGTCTCTTCACCATTCCAGAATCTGAATCAATTGAAGACTATTCTATTTATTTCATAGGGGAACCAGGTCACTTGCTATTGAATCTCATATTCAACTTCTCAAAATGTCCCTTTTTCACTTACAACTCTAAACTGCAACTTGCTCAACAGGAAACATTGCAGAATCGGCAACTTATGCGACGATATTACCTTGTTGAAAAAATAAAAGATGCTAATGTTATTGGTATTTTGGTTGGAACCCTTGGTGTCTCTGACTACCTTACCTGTGTCCATCATCTCGAGTATCTTATCCAAAAAGCTGGAAAGAAAAGTTATACTTTTGTTGTAGGGAAATTAAACATTGCAAAGTTGTCCAATTTCTTGGAGATTGATATCTTTGTGCTTGTTGCTTGTTCAGAGAACACTTTGATTGATTCCAAGGAATTTTATCAACCAGTTGTGACTCCTTTTGAAGTGGAAATGGCACTTAACCCAGCTAGAGAATGGACTGGAGATTACTACACAGACTTTACACTCTTACTTCCTGGTAAGAAAAAATAAATCTATCAATTATTTATCACTTGCTCATCCAATGCTACAAACTGTTTAGACTCTCACATTTCATTTATCATCCCAGCTCTTAATGCTTACCCACAACTTTCTTTTTAAAGAATAATTAAATTCTGCATCTTACTTGTTTTATTATCAGATAGAAAATACAAGATGGGGGGAATGTGTAGTGAAGTACAAAATCCTATTTTCTTGTTCAATTTTTTTTTTTTAATACCTATAACTATCTAGAATAGATTTTTGAAAAAGAATTTAATGTCTAGATTATATTTAAAGTTTACTTTCAATCAGACTATGCATAATAAAGAAATATTGACACCCACAGATTCTTATGTAGAAGGATAATTTTTTTTTTTTTTCCAAATTCCAGGTGCTGCGTGTTATGTACCTCTGCCTGATGAACCGTTTGACAATACAGACGTTTCTTTAATAACAGGGAAAATACGTACTTTGGGGGAAGATGCTGAACATCCTGAATCATCAAATGTAATCTTAATCCGTCCAGATGCTTTGTCTGTCACTACAGTAAATGCAAAGACTGCAGGTAAAAAACTTCAAAGATTTCCTTTCAATCATAATTTCTATTAGCTTGAAAAACAAGTCTGATTTAAACAATCTAACAGAATTGAAATTTTGAATTAGAAGTGAACCTAAATCTGCATCTTTAAACTCAAATATTGATATGCTTTCCTTTATCCAAAAGTAGCCTAACACAGGATATTTACTTTTGTATACAAATAAAACCATGTCCTTATCCTATATGCAGATTAATTAGAAGACACAAAATAATGTACATGTGATTTTTTTTTTTGCTTATGTAATCAGTTGATTACACATTTCTAAGTGATGTCTATTTCACTAATAAATGCATGTACCTAATACTATCCAGTGTGTATATGACAGTGTTTGTCTGGAAAGTATACAGCCATTTTGAATATCGTGAGAAACAGTTACATAGCTTATTTATAAAAAGATTCCTGAAAAGTACCTGGTTCAGTTTAGAAGAGATTTGAGATAAATTTCTGGAATTGGTCTGGCTAAGAACTTTTCAGCACCCTCTCATAATTTGGCAACCAAATATGGGATGTAGATTATTTGGTTAACAAAAGAATGCCTTTTTAGGCAGTCACATTCACCATGAATCAGTGTATATCAACCTATCACCTCGATTTGTCAGCCTCTCTATAATCCACATTAGTGACTTTTAGCAATCACCATTGTAGGGAATCATAGGAGTGATTGAAGAGAACACAACAAAGCAATTGACAGACATCTCAAAAAAAGACTATAGATCGTTTTGAAAAGATAACGGAATAAGTTTGTGAGGGTCCAAAGAGTACTTTGAAAAGGACTAAAATGTCATTGCTATAGGTTTTGCTCCTCCCCCACTTCCTTTCTAATTATATGGCTAGATATATTCTGGATAGACTTTAAGAATATTAATATTAAAAAAAGGAAATTCAGTGTGATTCATACAGATATGTGCTTGATAACTTAAACAGAATAAAGAATTAAAAAATATAAATATACAGAATTGGTATTGGTTTTATCTTATAAACTATTACTAAAGAGTTTTATCCTTAGTGTGCTCATCTATTGTGGTTAAAATCAAAATTATTATTGGTCAAATTTGTGTGTAATTAAAGGAAAAGGAGCTTTATAGTTGTAGTATAATGTGTAGATATATTTAATGTTAATAAATGTTTAATAAATACAAATTGTAATAGTTCAATCAATATATTCTCTAATGACAGGATTTCTTTTTTCCTCTTTATTCTAATGCTTGAGTCTATGTCTAATCTGTTTTTCAAAAATCATTTAATGCAAGTAACAATTTTGTTCCAGGAGAATTCCTGACTCAAAGAAGTTGGCAAGGTTTGGAACAGAACCTTGGAGAAACTCCTATCACTAAGGCTGTCGAAGGAGATGCTGGTATTGCTTGGAGTTATACACACGAGATGTTGCCTTCGGAAAAAGACTGACCATTTCGGTAAAATACGCATCAGGCGCACGCTCGCGCCGCACCTACGTTATTATCTGCCCTTTGTCTGACACATTTTCACATCGCCGGTTGAATCGGACGTAAATAAGAGGACACCTTTAGAAAGTCATCACTATGCCTCTGTCGTTTTTGTTTCAAACTCTTTTAAAGTGATACATTTTATATTTAGAGAGTTGAAGCTTGAATTACATGCAACACTTATTTACATACTTCTATTCTGAAGCCATCAACCTTCTGTTACTTAAAATCGGCTTTCACAAGATACGAAACTCATGAACGTATTATCAATGTTTTGAGCTATTAAAATAACTGTTTGCTTTCTTAAAACTGAAAAATAAAAAGTCAGAGTTATTTTTTCCCCGTCTATAATTGAGAGCTTGTTCAAATTTCTGATTTCTTAGAGTAAAATCATCCTTTATCATTTTATCATTCACATTTTAGTTATGCTTCATTTTATGCTGAGGTAGTTTTTTTTTTTTTTTTTATAATAAATAAAAAAGAAATCTTTGTCTTAATTTTATTTCAAGCAAATCTTCAATGGAGATAATTCAAACATATGTACACCCACATGAATTGTGAATAATTGTATAGTCTATCAAGAGAAATAAGGAGTATTTAGTAACTGTATTGCTCTGTCTGATGACCAACCACAACTCTTCAAAGGACCTTCTGTTAGTCGAAGGTAAGTCTGTAAAGCCGCTTTCCCTTTCATAGCCAGGCTTACTGAATCTTTACTGTTGCTTTCTGCATTTTGATTCATGTTCTGTAAGTACCAGTAACACATTTCCCCTGTATACATCAAATTAAGCACATGAGTGTCAGAGTAAATACCTGAAAGAGAAAAAAATACTGAATAAGAATATAAATTAAAAAAAAAAAAAAAATCTAATCTTTACAAGAATCCATTTAGTCTTAGCACAAAGTGATATATTTATCTTTTTAGCATTTATTTATTATTGAATCTTTCCACATTTTACTATAATTCACATTTCAATTCATTCGGTCCTAATGGAGAATACTAATTCACACAGTTTGGTTTCAATGATTCAGAAGTTCTAAAAACCATCTCCACTTCACTTGTAGATAGCTATATTAAATTAAAACAATTTTAAAAGGACCTTGCCTAAATGTAGCACTTGGAATAAGTACACTAAACCTAACTCAAGTTATATCCTATAGAATTGGATTATTTCAATAATCGTTCCAGTATTGAACACTTATTAAACTTCATCAGATTTGTCTTTTGTGATGGGGGTTACCAAATTTAACCCCTCCCTAGTAGATATAATTATTTTGCAACAGCTTTATAATTTCTGAGTATGTATCCATATAACAATATATAGTATCTATAATTTGCCCAATTAAAGAAAATACATTTAATATTTCAGTTTGTTTTTAGTACAGTTTTTGTTAAATTGCTAAGAAAATGATACTGCAGTTAAATCTCCTGCCAAGAATGTGTTGAGCTCATGAAACCTACTGTGACCCTCCAGTTCTCAGTCTTGGTAGAGCATCAGAACATCCAATGCCAGATTAATCTGCTGGAGATCCTGGCAGCAACTGTGTAGTCCATTGCAAGATCATTGCCAGTCTGCAGATAGTGGATTGGAACTGGTAGATGACTTTGGTAAGGTGGTCATCAGGTTGTTGCAGGACATGACTGAGCCAATGAACACGGTGCTGAGTGATGGTTTAGAGGATGTTCAGCTGGCCAGTCCTCCAGTGGAGCTCCTCATTGGGCACAAGATCAGACCAGGTGAGGGTCTTGTTGATGGACATCTTGATGCTGCATAGTGTCACAAAAAAGATGGTGACATCGTAAATTCATAGTTTGGCGTGTTGGAAGATATCACAATGCCACCATAATATCAGCTCACATCTTCTATCGATTTCAGTGAGGATGTCGCAAACTTAACGGGATTGCTGGAAGATGAAATGTGACCATCTCGTGCAAAAACCACAAATCAACCTCCCTTCATCTCAGTCCTGGGCCAACTCTTCAACTGCCCTTTCCACCATCTAGATGCCGCTCTCAATCAACTGATTTCATGCTGATAGGAGCATTTTTTATTTTTTTTTGCTCCATTTTCCCATTGAAGTGTCTATTTTATGTAAATGCACTGTTAAAGGCAAAGAGTAAATGTAATTTGAAACGGCCTTTTCTCAAGAGGAAAGAAAACCTATAATTAAAAGGTGTTAGCATTACCTTACAAGTCAAGTCAATAAATAATTAGCAGTAACCAGGTAAGTGAAGGTACCTATTTCCACAGGTAAGAAAATAATTGACTTGATAAACAAGAAAAATGACTATCCAGACATGCAGGTTTTAAAACTGGGTATAGGTACTTTCTCAACTCAATACTTCATCATCAGCTATAGATATTCAATGGATGCCAGTCTTTGGGACATCTTCACTTATATGAAACTATGGGATGGATCATAATTGTTTTAGTTATATCTTATTACACTTAAAAGAAATAGATCAAAGTATCTTCAATCTGTTTCTATAAAAGTGCCACAAATACTCAAGAACTAAAAAGAAAAAATTTACTCTCATTATAATTTAGTTTTCAGTGTCATAACTTATGTTATGAGCATTGTGTAAATGTTGTTTACTATTGGCTTGAAAGTTTCTTGGGATATTGGAAATAAGTTTAAAATACACTATAATCTTCAAAATATTTTAATTATAAAGAAAAAAATCATTCAGATTTTACAATATAATCAATACTGGAACAACCGCTTCAAAGAGTTTAAATTGCAATTGCCAATTTGATTAGTGATGAAAAGTGAATTTCATCAATTAAAGTAAAGATCATATACATAGAGCTCATACTAGTAACTTTTACATAACCACTTCAATCCAACAAGCTTATACAGGTTAATATAACTGTGTTTCAATAACTAGTGATACAGTGAAAAATCTACTATTCATGAAAATAGTCTTGCACATTGTTAACAGTTTGTTCCTTACAGAAATAAACTAGAATAGGACCTGCTAGAATTGACATTAAGAAATAAAAAAATTGTCAATTGGATTTCATACCTATTCAAAAGGCTTACCTTCTTTTACTAAGTTGTATGTTTGTTCATCATTACAACTAAAATTGGCATTTTTGCTTCTTTGGATACTTAACATGCCAGTCAGATACTCAACACCTTTCAAGATATTCTGAAAAAAAAAAAAAAAATTAAGTTAAAAAAGTACAAGAATTAACATGAAACTTAATATTAGAACTGTGCAAAGAGACTAAATTGAATAAGAAAAAAAAGTCACAAAGTTCCATTGAAATACTCATAGGCAATCAATATCTAATGTCAAAAAAAGTAAAGGTTTAAATGCTTATTTACATGTTTAGATTATCAAACACCCAGATTTCTCAAAATATAAAAAAAGAATACAAACAATTTTAGAATAAAGGATAAAAAAATAACTACAAAATACTAAGTATCCTGAATAAACATGAAAGAAAAATGAATAATTATCAATGTTTTATCCAATAAGTTACATCTAATACAAATAATGAAGAAATATTTACCTTATCACCTTTAAATGTTACCTGGTTTTCTAATAAATAAAAGATTACCTGTAAAAAGCAATCCTTATTCCTTTCACGGCGATTGTCATCTTCATTGATGATGCTACAGAGCATGTAAAGCAATGCTCCTTGACGCCACCGAACACATTCATAGATCTCAACTCCAAGAATGTCAGCAATCTGCAAACAAGATAGTGTGAATTTAACTGGTGAAAACTAAATTTGTCTGTGTACTCTGCTCGAGAAAGATTTCTACTTTAAGATGAAGACAACTTCTAAAAATACCAAAAGTATGCAGTTGTGAAACAAATGATGAAGAATTCAGTTTGGTAGGAGAGCAAATTAAGTGAGCTCAGTGCATAAAGTGCAACTTAGAGAACATAGGTTAACTTACATAAGTTTTATAATCATCAGTAGGATTCTAGGTTTTACTTACGTGTATGTGTGTGTATGCATTTTCACAAAGAGGAGAGAAAATATGGAGCAAAAATAGACTACATGATAATCTTGACAAATATGACAGGACATTATTATGGTGACCAAAATCACATTATGATGAATCTTCACAGAGTAATCTACAATTGTGCCACATCTAAGCTACACTTAGAAAACCATTTAATGGCACTATGGTGTAATGGTTAGCAAGCTCGTCTTGCTAGGACAATTACAGCTAAGTAGTGAGTTTGATCCTTACTGGCTGCCCTATACTTTCAGCTGCATGCCACATCTGAGCTACAATTAGAAAAAAATTACCATATTCCTTAATGTGATATGTTAAATTTGTTTTACTAAAACAAACTGAATATTCAAAAGCAAAGAATATGCAGTATGTAATGAAATTATTATCAAATAGTCATACAGGGTTGCCAGATTGAGCTTTCAAATCTAGCCCAACATGCCTAAATTTTAAATTTTCTTTTTCCATTTAGTGGCCCAAGTTAGCTCAGCTTATTTTAAAAGTAAAACCCAGCCCAGGACTTTCCTAATTCATCAAAAACCTTGACTATGAAGGTTACTGGCTTGGATAACATACCTGCTGTACTCAAGAAACTTAACCCTGAAGTATCTCTAATCTTGGCAAAGTTGTTTAACTACTGTCTGAAAGAGAAATGTTACCCCAAGTCTGTGGAAGTTGTCAGCTGCCTGCTCCGTTTTCAAGATTGCTAGTGAACATTCATCTCTATCACAATATTACTCCATCAGCCTCTTTAGTGCTATTAGCAAACTGAGTATTATCAATTAGGCAGTTGCTCACCTCACCCTAAACAACTGTCTGAGCAACAAACAGTATAGGTTTCACTCTTTCATGGTAATGTGTATAAAGCTAGGTGCAAATGAATGAAAGCTCCATCAGTCAGTCAGCTTAATGAGCCACATAACTAAGCTTATCAGGATTCTAATGAATACAGCACAGCAGAATTAAACTAGGACAAGAACAGTATGGTTTCATTAAAGACACTGGAACAAAATGCTCTCTTTATGATCAGAGTGAGCAATACAAATGTAGAAAGATGTATACCTATGTTTCATAGACTATGCATTTGATAAGGCAAGATTTGGGCTACAAGAAAAGCTTGATTTATTTGGGAAAGATAGAATAATCCTAAATATTTACTGGAAGCAAACCACTTGCATATGGATAGAAAATGAATTTGGTAAGTAGCCAAAAATAGACAGGTGCATAAGACAAAGATGTGTTTCTCATCAGATTTACTTAACTTTTTACACTGAGTCAATCCTAATAGAACTAGAAGTGCTATCAGGATTTATTGGATGGCATAATCTTAATACAAGATATGCAGATGATAAACACAGAAAGAAAACTCCAGAAACTCATTGACAAGATAGTAAAGGAAAGTGGGAAAACAGGACTAACCATCAATTATAAGAAGACAATATAAGGTTGTCAGCAAAAAGAACAGCCTAAAATGTGGGCTACAAATTTAGACCAGGAACATTACAGATGGACATTGAAAAAAAAAATATAGCAAGCTGATTTTTTTTTCAGAGATGCTACTACTGATGCCAAATCCATAATGTCCCCAAAAGTCTCAAGTGAGCTAAATGTTTGGGAGCCCAAAATCCAAGATGGCCACCTCTGCAGAGGCAACACTAATCATTCAGCTCACAAACCTGTGTGATACCTCTTTTCCAACTAATTTGATGATGAGAAATACAATTATGACCTTATTTTTACGATATAAGGATGACCGAACCTAAAAAAGAACCTAAAGACCAGAGGAGGCTTAATTCATAGTTGGAGAATAACTCCAAGTAACCAGTCAAAAATGGCCTGCATTCTGTCACAAACTACCCATGTGTGTATCTCCCGCAAAAGTTTCTATGTTACACACATTTCCCCTACACATCAACACACAGACCTCAGGCCTACTGCTACTGTAAGGGATGGTGAACATTTCATCAAATTCAACTCCTACTTATCCATGCATTTATTTTCTTACAACAGCAAGTATGTTACTAAATTAGCAAGCATTACCACAGGAGTTGTAGCCCCCTTCATCTGCCAATGCAGACAGTACGTTTCACCTTGATGAGGAAGCTGCAACAAGGTTGACTGGTATGAACAATACTGACACTAAACTCAGAAGAAATGACAAAGTGGTGTTAATTGGTTCAGCAAATAACAGTGCAGAAATTTGTGTTCAGCATGTGGAAATAAAACCTATCAATCTCTTCATGCATTTAGACTGTGTTAAGATATTCATTCCATCTATAGTAAAATGGCATAGTCTTTATACTGCTTATGGTTAGTAATCTATTTTTTAGGTCAGGTTATTCGTATATCTTAAAAATAAGGTCATAATTGTATTTCTCATCATCAAATTAGTTGGAAAAGAGGTATTACACAAGTTTTGTGAGCTGAATGAGTAAAATGTGTTGCCTTAGCAGAGGCAGCCATCTTGGATTTTTGCTCCCGAACATTTAGGTCACTAGGAGCTTCATGGATTTTGAATCAGTAAACCATAGAGTAATTAAAATCTGCCCTATTGGGCAGCATGTAAGCTAGCTCCTGTGGAGGACTCTTTGTTTGGCCATCATCACAGTAGCTAGGGAGGAGTAGATGTAATAGACATCAACAAACTACAGAAGAACTCAAAATTGATCACTGCATTTGAGTATTGAATTAATGTTTAAGCTTACCTTTTTAAAAGTTCAACGATAATTCTTCTGCTGCCACTTAATTTAAAGACGATTTGATGCAGGTAGATCTTTATTATTATAATTATTTTATATTATTTTTATTTCATGGGTGATAGAACAGGGGACAATTTATGAGATAAAATTAATATAGTATAAAGATGGGAAAATAGAAATTAGAATTAGTTATACATTCAACATTTGAAGAGTTAGAGAAACATAATAGCTAATTAAGTAAAACCTATATTATGAAATCTATATGAATAAATGCGAAATTGGAGCTCATTCTCCTACAAATTCTGAGATTAAAAATCCCCAGCTCTACTTTATAGTAATTTGTATTTACTCAAATCCCCCACAAGGTCAGTTTAATGTGGAGAGCCCAAGCACATACACCTGGGCTAGGAACAAAAATTCCCAAGCCTCCACAACCATTGGTTGCACTGGCTTCAGTGTGTGCACCAATTCCTCTCTCTAGTACAATGAGAGCACACGGCCTTGGCAGCTGTTCCCCAGGGCTGGGCACCTCTCAGTATAATTTTCCTCAGTTGCAATTCTGTCCTTTAACGGAACCGTCCCTGAATGTACTCTGCCCAAAGACAGAGACGCAACTGAGAGATGATAAATTTACAAGGAGTAGCTTACACACTAAAATGATTTTCTAAGTGTAGCTTAGATGTGGCACATGGCCGAAAGTATGAAGCACCCAGTGCAGATTGAACTCACTATTCAATCGTAATAGATCTAGTGAAGCAAGCTTGCTAACCATTACACCATGTCAAAGTGCTGAAGTAATTTACACACTAAAAGCTCAATATCTATATTATATATTATCTACATCTAGGTAATATCACTCTTCAGGTTTAACTAATTTTCATTTTAAAAAATTTTATTTCATTAATTATCTGTCCTTCATTACCGTTCTTTTATTCGAGGATTGTTTTGATTTTCATATCAAAAATAGTTGTTTAGGAATATAGTCTTATATAGTGGAGAAAAGTGTTTGAAATTTGCATTTTACTTGGCATTTATTTGTAAAACTTTCCTTAACTATAACAAGCCAATTTATAAATGAAATGTTCATTTAAAAAATTTTTATTTCAAAGATTTCAAGTAGTGAATATATCTTACTTTGTGAAGCAATAGCGAGTGGGCAAAGCCTGCTAGTTAAAAATAAAGAAAAGTGTACTAATCTGCTATGTAATATCAATCCTCCTGTATGGCTGTGAATGCAGAAGAATTTCTACACAGATGAAAAGAAGACTTGCAGCAACAGAAATGTGATTCTATAAAAACATACTGAGAATACCATGGATGGCACATGTGAGTAATGAGGCAGTTTTAAGGAAAATGGAAACAAAAAGAACATCAGAAAGAGTCAGCTGAAATTTGAAGATGCATAAGGAATGAGGGCTTAGAGAATTTGACACTCACAAGACATACTGAAGGCAAGAGGTGAAACAAGTAAACAGCTTACCTAATCATTTTGTGCAAATAGAGGGCAGAAAAGGGATTAAAGGTGATTGCAAAAAGGCAAACATTGCTAAAAGCTACAAAGGATAGAAAGTTGTGGAGAGCCATGATCAGTGAAATGCCCAATGTTAACTTCATCACAAGAGCAATTAGCTTAGATATCTCACAGGCTTTTGACAAAATGTGACAGATTTGCTACACAAACTTCTCCAGCTATGGTATCTCTAGAAAAGCTTATGGAGTCATCTTTTCTCTCAGGTAGGTCTATGAAGGTCATCATGAACAGCCAGTCTTCAGCAGCTCATGAGATTAATGTAGGTGTCCTCTAAGGCTCTCCTTGTTCTGGCCCTCTCTCATAAATGACCTGCCTAAGAATTCTCAGATCATTAGTAAATATCTATTTAAATGAAACCACAATTTATAGACACTTTCAAAGATTAAGTGGAACCTTTCACCTAATCTCCCCTTTAACCTAACAAACAGTGTACTGGGAGAAAAACTGGCTTGTAACTTTCAATACTTCAAAACCAAGCTTGTATTGTTTCATC